GATTGATTATACAAAAAATGATTACAAAATTATTAACAAAAAAAAATCAAAGAAATATAAGTTTAACAAATTATAAGGTTGGGGGTGAGAATTATAGTTCCCTTATTGTTGGAGAAAAAAGCTGACTAATCTCATACATACACATGAACAGTTAAAAATATATAGCTAAATTCTGAGATTTTAGACCCTTAACTTGAAGAGAGCCTTAATATTTTGTCCACAATCTAAGCAAACCCTTATCTTTAATGTCCATTCCTGCATAAGATTTGGCCACGAAAGCGATCTTACTCGCACTATGTTAATACTCGATTGATATGTCACAAGTCATTACTCAGTTAGCGTAAATGAAGAAAATTATGCTGTCATATAAACCTAATTAGTTAGAAGAAGAAAAAGAATCTATGAAATCTCATCAAATCTTGTTGTAATACCTAATTATTTAATGGATAGTGTTCAGATTTGCAAATGGAGAAACACCAGCTAATCCGTAATGTGAGTTTGTCTTTGTTCCTTTTTATGGGTGAGGACAGCTTGCAGATTAATCTATGATTTCAGCCACAAAATAAAAAAGGATCAGTTTTCTTGGTCGTGGTTATCGAATTCTCCGGATCTCGCAGTCTAGAGTCACCAGAGATCGAGTTTGTACCGTTCAAGTGAAAAAAGAAGATTCGGACACTTAGTTTGTGTAAGGTAAGCCAGTAGAATAGGTTGATGGGGGCTATAAAATTTAAAATAAGTGGTCCGAATTACTCAGTTTGTCAATCTCTATTCGTGATTATCTAGATTTCATTCTTTTGAATTCCGTGGCAAATTCCGTGGCCACAAACTGTGATTGTTTAGCTGTGATCACATGTTGTGCCCTAAATCAAGGGATCATGGTAGTGCTCATACAACTTCCTAGCCACGAATCCCTCATCCTCTTTTCTTTGAGCACTTGATTCTGGCCAAACTTTCCCTAATTCAGAAACAAAAGCATGCGTTCGTGGATCACTCAACCTAATTCCCACAACTATGGATGCATATAGACACAATTTGCTTATCCAATGAATATGTACATGTATGTATATAATATCGTATTTTTTTAGATGGTGCAATCCGTATAAAAAGTTTATCTTTCGATGAAATTTAGTACTTTCATGAGCAATGCAACAATTGGTCAATGTGATATCATAATGCGCGACAGTTGAAAACCGTTAATTGATATGAATCTTACGTAAGTGTCTGCTTAAATAAAAAGACTATAAGCGTCTTGGGTTGTAGTGGGTTACTTAACATCGTCGTTTTCTTAAGCTTTAGCTAATTTAGACCCACAACTCACGACAATATGGGTTTCTAAAACGAGTATACTTCCAAATGACTTTTGCACGAAGTGTCAAATTATGGGTACATATTTGTAAGGTTACTGTGGAGTTGGGGGAGAGGACTTCTTATGAGTGGCTACTACGGCATTGGTTAGGTACTTAACTTAGATTCATTAATTAGTCACTTTCTTTGCTTAGTGATAAATGCCAATGTGTACTCTCATGACTTTGTACGAATCGAAATTAGCACATAGGGATCGAACAAACGTAGAGCTCATCTAGAATTGTTTTTAAATTTATTGAAAGCATGTTTTGTGGAAATATTTTTTAAACCAATCTTTAGCAGACACTTGAAGTGTCTTTGGAATCTAGAATCATTTTTTTTCCTTCTAAAAACGTTTTGTTATTTTAAAAGCATTTCCAAACGAGTTCGTAGTTGATAATAATTTGATTTCCTTGCACTAACAACAAAATATTTCAATCAAGATGACAAACACAAAAAATAAAAATAAATATTATTGATTGCATGTGTATATTTTGAGTTTATATGTATTTCTTCTGAGGATTTTTATGTGATTATAACAATACGTTAAGCACTTTCGACCTTTGCTTAATTAAGAACTTTTTATAGGTAGTATTTAAAGGGTACTATCCACACGTTTATATTTATTTTTCACACATTTTTTTCAATTTTCGACCGACAAATCAAATAAATTGAAGAAGATCGATAGACCAAAATTAACAAGGATGCGCAGAAGGTAAAAAAACGGTAGTGCTATTAGTGTTTAAAAAGAAAAATAAATTTAGAAAAATCAACCAAAGACTGTTGTTGGATAGATAATCCGTCTGCAGGTCATTTGCAGCTTAGAAGAAGATCCAGCAGCAAATAGGCCGGTCCGAAGATTTAGTAGTCTCTAGGTCATATCCAAAAATGGGGCACTCTTTTATATTCACACCTAAATACTTACTCAATTGTCATTTAGTATCACAGTCTAGTGATATTCCTCTTCATTTGTAAGTGAGAGATCTTAGGTTTGATTATCACCAAAGGCGAATTTGAACCAAATTATTGCTAACTCATTGTGAGCCTAAACCCACCCCATCTCTTAATGTAGATAATATTGTTTGTTCAAAAAAAAAAAAAATTCTTACTCGATTTTTTTTATTGAAGCAGGATTAACAAATTTTTTTATTAAACTTATGAGAAAAAACACAAAAAATAAAGATTTTACAAAGACTAACATCATCTCTACCTCTCTCTTAGATCCTAAAAATTAAGAATTTTGTTTGAATAAAGAAAAAATAAATTATTTATTTATTTATTAAGAAAGAAAGTGTGATATGGTTTAGGGTTCTGCTGTCTTTACCTAGGAAAAACACTACTCGAAACTCAGGAGTATGACTCTTTTCCTCGTAATTAATCCCTTCTTCTTCCTTTTCCTAGTCTCTCGCTCGTTTTATAATTTTCTTACTATAGGAAAGTCAACACAAGACGTTGATGTAATTTAATTATGATACAGTTCAAATAAGGGGAAAAAAAAAAGTAAAAGAGGGGAATTTTGAGAGGCGAAAATCATAGTCCAGAAACTCAAGGGCGCAAACCCTAGCAATAGCCATTAGCAAGGGGAAGACATTTTTGTGGATCTCGAAAGCGCAAAAATAACCACAATTTATTATTATTTTTTTTCTGCTCAGATTTTAATTATTTTGGATTCATATATTTTTGTATATATTTATTTGTGCATGCAAATTGGAGAAACAGAAGTTGAATACTCAAAGCAACAGATCGTGTCGTAAGCTTCTGGCTTTCTCAGAGAATTTCCAACTGTGCAACACATGCATGCTTTATCCACACGGTAATATACGTACGTACTAGATGTATGACTTTTTTGTGCCATTTAACGCAGTAATCAAATTGATTAGAGTGTAAAAACATAACAATTTGCATATGACGAACAAACTTTCTTTTAACAATTATACGTGTGTGTGTGTGTGTATTAATGGATGCTGATACAAATGTTTTAGAAATTGTCAATGATATATACTAGCAATTTTACACATATTATGCATGAGTTTATTAACATGTTAAAGATAAAATTCACAAAGAGAGAAAACATAACTAGTCACTAAAATTTTTTTTGTGACGATCTTCGAACGATTTTTCATTGCTAAAGAGGTTGTTCATATTTTTCGCGACTGTTTCTAGATAATTATTTTGTCTAAAAGTTTATTTTATTTGGGAGAAAAACGTAAAAGAGAAAATAAGGGCAACTGATATGATTATCTAGCTAGCAGCTATGAAAAATAGTAAATTATTTTGCGTTTAATTTACTATATTGCTTATAGCTTTTACTTTGGTTATTTTTCTTTAGTTTGTTGATGAGGTTAATTTGACCCGTAACTTTTGTTTTGATTATTTTCTTTAGTGTGTTGATAAGGTTAATTTGCGTATTTTTTCACCATCTTTTGATTGACAAAAATAATTATATTTATAGGTGGTTTGTATCACCTCTCTAATAGAAGTAAGACCCATCAACATATGTAGGTCTCATCTCTATTAGAGATGTGACACAAATATGGTATGAAATGGTATGACCGTATGAGTAGCATTTTTATGTATAAAAGCTTCAACCTAATGCAACAATGGAAAGGCTAATGTGAGAATATATGTGAGAGTAAAGTCTCACATTGGTGAGGAACCAAACCATGTAAGGGCTTATAAGGAGTTGAGCTACTTCCATATTGTCAATTGCTTTATGAAGAAAGTACTCCTCATATTCCTAATTGATTTTATGAAGAAAGTTGAGGTTGTAGCATAAGATCAATTGCTAATATGAGGAGCAGCCCAACTCCTTATAAGCTCTTGCATACTTGGTTCCTCACCGATGTGAGATTTTGTTCTTATATTCTCACACACCCACTCACGTGTTGGGAATTTTCTAGCCTAACACGTGGACAACAAAGTTGGGTAGCGTGGAGAAAGTGTGGTCATTTGGCATTACACATGGGCCAACCTGGCTCTAATAATAGAAGAAAGTTGAGGTTCCATCAGAAAATCAATTGGTAATATGAGGAGTAGCCGAACAAAGCCCTTGCATGGTTTGGTCCCTCATTGATGTAGGACTTTGTTCTTACATTGTCACACGCCCCCTCACGTGTGGCAAATTTTCTAGCCTAACATTGACGTAGGACTTTGTGATTGCGGACTCTGAGTCTCCGAACATCCAATGCTTAGTTTTCGAACACTCATTAGATGCCCGCAATCGAACCATACTGTATATGTGTATATTAATTTGTACATAAACAACATACATATATATAGTCCTTTCAAGTTAATTTTTTTTCTGAAAAAAAATATCTCTATTAGCTAACTTACGCACATGCATGTCTCTGGATTCAATTTTCGACAAAAAAATTTTGGTTCAAGATATTTTTTAACATTATGCTTACGTAGAAGGGCATGTGTATATGTTCGCTGATACATAGAAAATTTTATATACAGATTTTATTCTACACAAAGCCCAACCAATTAAAAGTCATGCATGCAAATAAGTATGTATCATGGATAACAATATGCATGCTTAAATATATTAACGAAACGAGTTAAGGTTAAATGCTCTCTACTAATGCTGATTAACTACAGTAATATTGCTGGGAAAAAATATTTAGTCTCCCTCTATAAAAACCCTAGCTACCCATTATCTCTTATTATCTTGCCTAACTGCCTCTCTCTCTCCCTCTCTCCCTCTCTCTCTCTCTCTCTCTCCTCTCCTCTCCTCTATCCCTCTCTCTCCCAGAAACGCACAAACACAAAAACAAAATGGATAAAAAACCATGCAATAGTTCATCCCAGGATGTTGAAGTGAGAAAAGGGCCATGGACCATGGAAGAAGATTTGATTCTCATCAACTATATTGCAAATCATGGTGAAGGTGTATGGAACTCCCTAGCCAAATCTGCTGGTAATTAACATGTTTGATCCCTATATGTATATTTCAAACCCTAGCTAGAACGTACAATTTCCTATTTTAGAACTACATGTCCACATATTATAAAGATGTCACTAGCTAGGTGTATATTATGTTACTAGGTCTCAAACGTACTGGGAAGAGCTGCCGGCTCCGGTGGCTGAATTATCTACGGCCTGATGTTCGGAGAGGCAACATCACACCTGAGGAACAACTTCTGATTATGGAACTGCATGCAAAGTGGGGTAACAGGTGATCATCACTTGCTATTTTTATTCATATAATCCAAATATACATGTAAAATATTAACGTAAGTACATAAGTATGCTGATAATTTAACGACAAGGACATATACATATGATTTGATAAGTTGCGAGTCTTAGATTATTCTACTTGTCCTCATCATTTTTTAATTTGGAGAACCAAGTAGGTTTCTTGGTTTTGATTCATAGGGCTTGGATCACTCTCTCTGTCTCTGTTCCTTTTTTTTTCTTTTCGGTTGCAATATTAGAGGGATTCGAATCCTAGATGTAACGTACTCTTACTCTCTTCACCAAACATTGTCCCTCTCTCATGTGTTATAAGATACACACACACACACACACACACACACACACACACGTACATATATATGGGTTGCTGGAAGCTTTGTGACAAATCATTTCAGTGGACGTACCCTCCAACCAGTATAAATATATACCAGCTGATTGTCAGATCTGTGTCAAGGGCAACATCAAACATTGCTTACAATCCGTTTTAAGTCTCCATGATAATTTTAGATATCTCCAGGCTAGCTAATAAACTGAGAAGGACAAGTAATTGATCATATTTTCTCTTCTCTTTTTCTTTTATTAAAAAAATAAAATAGAAATGTGGTACTTATCCATTATTGGTGTACCGTCTTCAACATGTCTTTGATTGATCTGGGTTTCCATGTATTGGAACCCACCAATCAACAAAGCTCTCCACACGTACGTGTTTGCAGGACAACTTTGTGTAGCATAGCTTCTATATATATGTATGCATTTGGAAAATAATTTAAAACCCGAATTTCTTTTTTAGAAATAAAAATGGAGAGTCTATATAATTCTCTTGTATTGGATGAACCCATGAAATTGTGGGGGCAAAACCATGTAAAAAAAAAAAAAAAGTTTTTGCTTAAAAAAAAAAAAAAAAAAAATTCTCCTCTTGTGACTTGTTCAATATCGAGATGAATTGACATGAAAAAGTCATTGAGGTGAAATGACAAAAAAAATATGTCGATAACCCATTTGGGATTTAATCCCCTGCTGAGGATAGATGACGTGATGAGTAGAACTGTACAAGTAGGCAAGAGATTCAGAGTTCAAAACTCTCTTTTGTGATAAAAAAAAATTATATATCGAGATGAATTGTTTTGATATGAAAAAGACGAACGAGCTGTTAAACTTGGTAATAAAGTTAAAAATAATTAGAATGTTCTTTTGTATTATGAATAAATCAAAATCATTATATGATAAAGTCCAAAGATTTGGAAACTGATTGTCTATGTGGAAAGAAAAGTGGATTAGGATTCTCTTTCATCCAATTTTCATTCGTTTTCATTCCCTCTTCTCACACTTTTCTCTATGTTTCTCTCTATAAAAAATTCAATACAAGATATTGACGTGACTTAATCGTAACCCAACAAGTAGAAGGGAAGAGAAGGGGGGAGAACTAGAAGGGGAGAGAATCATATACTCCAAGAAAAATACCTTAAACTAGAGATGTGGTGGTGGACTTGACTTGTGATACATCGAAAGGAATGCAGTTTGGTGAACTCGAACCAAAAAAGTATTTGGAGCAATAAATACCTTCCATTTACAGGTAAACCCCAGTCAGTTTCTCACATGCCAACCCTAGTTACCTAGCTTTCATCCTGAAGAAGAGGACAAAACTTTTGCTTTGGTTGAAGCGGACGTGAGCCATACTGTTTTGGCTGCTTAGGGCAACAGCTGGGCCTCCCACCCTTTATATTTCTGGTCGTACTACTAATATGCATGGAGGCAGCGCTCGCAACAAGAGCTTTCTGCTAAGAAATTAATCATAATTGGACTGCTAATCAAAGAGTTAAAAATCTCAAATAATAGTTACTAATTCTAGAAGCATGGCTAGGTAGGACAGTAAATTAGTTATACTAAAATAGAGTGATTATATATATTTGTATATCGATCAATATATGTTAACGTACGCTAAACGGAATAATACTGTGTGGAACAATTTTTCTCCTACATTTGGCCCAGTTTTCTGTCAAATGAGAATAAGTTTTTTTTTAGACCCCTTCGCCTGATAAATATATTTATGGATTAAAGTATATATTTATGGACCAAAGGGAACCTTATATTTATATATATGTATATATAAGTATATAAGTACGATACTATCCATAAGAAAGAATAATGGGATTAGATGATGATTATATCATTCAGAATACCTTATATACAAAGATTATGAGCTTTCCCTTTGAAGCTCAAGGAATAAGTAGTGGGGGGTTGAACATGGAAACTTGAAGATCGAAGGAACTGGAGGAGTGTGCTAGATCTGTGTGTGTGTGTGTGTGTGTGTGTGTTTGTAATATATGCATATACACGTACGGAAAGTAAATGATTTTGTGTTTTTCTAGATGACGAAGTTTTTGTGTATCTTGGTCTGCCTTATATATAAATAAAAGGAGTCCAGCAGGGAGTTGTAGGACTTTCATTCTCACCCATAGAACATGCATGACTTGGAATTTTTACTAATACTTAATTGTAGATAAGTATTCTTTTAAGTAATATATAAATCCACACAAAACACCACCATGGTCAAGTTGCAGGTAATAATTTAGGGTTAGGGTTTATTGTTTTAATTGATTATGTTTATATCAGCTTTTCTCATGTTGTTCTAGTGAGTGTTCTTTCTAATATAGGAGATTTAAGCTTATCTAAGACAGCTTTTTCCTTCTGGGATTGTTAATTTAGTTAGCAACTACAATAGCAGTACAAGTACTTGTCCAATCATTTATTGGGGTAGCTAGCTTTAACTTTGGCACGTTGTAATTTTTATCTTTGACAGTGTGTTGCAATATTCAGGTGGTCGAAAATCGCAAAACATTTACCGGGACGGACCGATAATGAAATCAAGAACTATTGGAGGACTAGAATTCAAAAACATATTAAGCAAGCTGAGAATACAACACCAGGACAAAGCTCTGAGGTGAATGATCAGGCTATCACAAGTCAAGTGTCCATCTCTAACACTGTGGACACGATGGATATTTCCCACTCCGCACCAACATACCAAGCAAATATGGATGCTTATCCTCCTCCTTTACCTGCTGATCAATCTAATGAAAGCTATTGGAGCATGGAGGATCTCTGGTCTCTGCAATTGCTAAATGGAGAGTAATTAAACAACCGATTTCATATATTATGATCCAAATTCTAAATTTGGATCATTAATTATTAGGTTTGTCCATATGAAAACTTAGTATATATATACATATATATGTTTTTTTTTCCTTAAATATGTATCTATATATAAAATATAATATATGGTTTTTATATATACGTGATTCTAATAAGTTTGTAATAGGAAATTAATCTTTTCTATTTCCTCTTCTCTACATGGCATAAACGAGAGTACTGGGAATATACATATATATGTAACTTATTCTCATTAAAAAAAGAAAGAAAGAAGACAATAGCCATTTAACACAAGTCGCACGGAATGAGGTGGAAAAAAAGTATATCGGTGGCTAAATGAGGGAGTAAAAGTTGCATATCAGTAGCTAATAGGTTGCTAGTTATTGAGAACTTTCACTCGCCTTATCATATGCAACTAATGTTAGTGATTAGTCTACGGACTGAAAACTGTTATTGATGATAGAGACTTGTAAACTTGTATTGATTGTTCTTATTTGCTAATAAGCTTTATTATTTAGTTGAGCTGATCACACGGCTTTTATTTAGTCTGAGTTTGCACATGAAAATTGGAAGTGGTGATGACTATGAAGATTCGAAGAAAGAAAGGATGAAGATACGTACGTACACATACAGCCATGATACGATTGATACAGCAAAAGAGCCGCTGGGAAATCGACACGTGGAAAGCTAATATAGCTACTCTTGTCAGATTCCATCCCAGCTTTCCAAAGTTGTGCATGGCCATGCAAAATTGATGTTCGACGTGAGCCTAACTTGCACCACCGCAAGCAAGTTTTCACATGCCCTTTATTAATTTCCATATTTTATTTTCCCTACAAATACTTCTATTTTCTTAAATATTTATGGTATTTACTAGTCCAACGCGCTACCACATGGCAATTCTCATCACAAATTACATTTCTTCTATTTTAATACCATACATCGAACTACATTTCTTCTTAAATACAAATTACGTAAAATGTTTGAAATATTAGTATTTATAGTCTTGAATCTTGATTCATAGTTTGCTTTCTTTATGTATAATTCTGTTCACGATCTAAATCAATAATCTGGTTTCTTTAGTTTTTTTGGTCAACATGGTTAGGTTTCATCATTATGAATTATTATCAATTTTTAAATATTTTCATGATGATTTTAATTAAGGAACTACAAGCATGTACATATATGTTCTATTCTCTTTTGGATATTTTGGTAGCTTTATATAATTAGTCGACGTGCTTCTTCAGGGGAGATCGTATTAGGACGACATTAGTTTAATCCATTCTTTAATTAACAAATTTTGTGTTTTGTGCCTTTCTGAAACCATATTAGTGCTATATTAGTTCAATCCATTATTTAATTAACAGATTTTATGTTGTGTGCCTTTCAATAACAGTTGAGTTATCAGAAACAAACAAAACTAGGTCTTCATGGATTGCGTAGGAGGAGAATTTTAATCAACCTTAAACTTTTGTATCCAACCCTTATTCAAAGAAATAGCACAGAACAGAAAGAACCTCAAGGGTCCATTCCTTCGACTTTGCGTTGCCGAATATGGCAAATATAATCGAGGACATATCTTTGGTTGTCGCAAAAGGTCATAGGAAAAAGAACTTCATCTCTCAGCCATTCATTTTTATCATCACATGGTTTATGTGCGCAATTGAAATTGGTTGCAAAGCACAAATAATAAAGATCACGTGGAAGATGGGAAAAATTCACATGTTGGGTCGGCCATGAATGTGGAAAAAATAAACATGGGTGATTGGTTTCATGTTGAAAACAAAATATCCTCGCTAGCTTAGTCCATGAAATCATAATCTAGATTTTGTTAATTAATCAACTAATGGGCCTTTTTGGGGTTCGCTGGAATTTCTCCAATCCAAAAAAGGTTTCAATTAAAGTGCTATTTGATTATCAATGGCCTGCAAGGGGTTCATGGTTCTGAAATTAGCGTATAAATTAATGGATTTGGATGTTGATGAGCCCAAAAACTAGACTACAATATTTCTGATTTGTGAATTATGAAATAATGAAGTTGTCATGACACCCCAGAATATGTTGTTCAAGTGCAATTCTCCCTAAATTTTGTAAAGTAGTACGTAATTTGATATTTTTAGAGAGCCAACAACAGTTCCAATATGAAATAATTGAAAGTTAATGGTGGCCAACAATATTTGTGAATTTTCGAGCGATGAATATAGAACTATAAAACATGTCATGATGCACTCGTTCCAGTGCAGTTTCTCACTAAATTTTCTGAAGACAATGTGTAATTTGACATTTTTAGAGCTCCAATAACAACTCGAATGTGAAATGGTTTGATGAAAATCGGTGGTGCTGACAACAGATATAGATGCATGTATTAGAAAATTATGTGATTCCTTGATGAACACTGGTGAACATGTGAGGGAGGGATTATGAAGTTGCAAATCCCAAAATAGACTACAATTTTGTGATTTGTGGAGTGATTAAGTTGTTATGGTACTAAGAAAAATTGCCGTAATGCACATGTTCAAGTGAAATTTCTCTCTAAATCTTGATATGACAAAATGTAATATGACATTTTTGAAGTGTTAATGACAATTTCAGCGTTAAATGGTAATGAAAGTTAGTGATGCCGACAATGAATATGGATGTCATGATTAAAAAAGTTATGTGATTCCATGATGATCACTCGTGAACATGTGAGGGATGGATGATGACAAATCGTATGAAATTGGATGAAAGTGAAAGTACTTGTTCATCAAGGAAAGAAGGTCGACATTGAATACGTAACGAAAATATATGCAACCGGGATGTTGCCCCAATTGGAGGTTAACTTTCGTTTTCTATTAATTTCATATGCAACAACCAATCCTCCTAATTTATTTCTTATATCACGTACAAGAAATATTGGACTACCGACGTCTTTAAAACGTTATATTGTCAGATTATTAATCTGAACTATGATCATTAAGATTGGTCTGAAACTTTGTCTTGCCAAATAATTTTTAAACATTATTTGTCAAATTATTAATCTTAACTAGGACCATTAAGATTGGTCTGAAACTTTATCTTGACAAATAATTTTAAAACGATATATTGTCAGATTATTAATCTGAACTATGACCATTAAGATTGGTCTGAAACTTTGTCTTGCCAAATAAATTGCCGATTCAAAATCTAAATCGTGAAGTTGTGAACAAATACAATATTGCCTTAATTCACAGTCTTGCAACATTATAAATCACATATTTATTGTAAAGAAATAGGTTCACATAAGTGATCATGTTAACCATTTTAATAATAGTTAATAAATTTAATACCTTCTTGTTACCGTCGAATAACTTTATCAATTTGACTTGATAAACAATAAAAAAAAGACTGATGTAACGAAAGATTGAAGGACGTAGGTTTTTTTTTTTTTTCATATTAATATTGTAAAATCAGTAATTAAAAACCTATTCCAAACGACGTTTACCAAGACAATTGGACACCAACCAGATGACCCATTAAAAACGTTACCCATGCTTGAAAAACTTGTCGAACTAGTTTAGTTCCATTGTTTTCCATCCCATCCTGCGTGTCAAACACACTTGAGTGGAAAGACTTGTTTAATTAAAAAAAAAAATGATATTCATCCACTTTTTTTTTTCACTTTTTGCAGGCGCTTATTATTTTTGCCTTTTAATTTTTTATATATTTCTTTCGATTGGAAGACTTGAAATAAACAAGAGAAAAATAAGGGTGTTAAATTCAAACCAAAAAAAAAAATAATAATGTGTTGAAATTACTTTATAATATTTAACCGGCTTTGGGTGATCGATTTTCATGGCCCACGGAACAGCTGGACTCTGGTTTGGAGATACAAAATGGACATGATACAAGGCCCATAGCTAAAGTATGGCAACTTCTGTTTGCTTGGAATGTAGTTGGGCCAGGTTTGACCTCAGGTATTTGGTTTTTTTACTCTTTTTTTTTTTTTTTTTTTTTTGGTATTTGTTTTGGAATTTTATACCATGTATGATGTTTCGATTTTTTATTTTTTTTGAACAAACGACATTGTCTATACTAAAAGGGTGGGCGAGTAGGCTAAGTCTCATACTGGGCCAGCAATAATATGGTTCAAATTTTTCTTTGACGAAAATTGAACCTAAGACATCTCACTTACAAGGATAAAAAATAGATTTTTATCTTTATGTTTTGTGAATTCATTAATTTAGTCTTTTATGTTCTAAATTCATCTATTTTGTCCCTCATTTATTGGTTTAGTCATCAATATTGTCCCAGCCGTCTATATCTAAAAGTTTCATGGAGACAAGATGTTATCTGCTTCGATGATTCTTCGTAATGTCATATATAAAAACAAAGCTAAAAATTTCAAATACTTAACCTAGAGGTTTTTTCACTATTCCAAATGATAAATAAATATATGAGATTCAAATACTTTAAAGATGTTATATGAAATTGTAATTGATCTCAACTTAAAACAATAAAATGTAAGTTAAATTGCGCATAAAATATAAATCATGTTATCGATACTCGTAAAATTTTGAAGAACATACAATCTAAAAATGCAAGAACCAAAATATTGGGGGGGGGGGGGGGGGAGAGAGAGAGAGAGAGAGAGAGAGAGAGAGAGAGGAGAGAGGATAAGTTGAAGGAGAGAACGTGTGGCAGAAACACACACCAATCCAATCCACCATTCCTTCCATCCAACCTCATCCTCCTCAATCTTCTTCACAATTTCCCAGTAACAACAAACTCTTTATATTATCCACCACCACATGGCATCATACCCATGTCTCCACGTGTCACCACACCACTCGCTGACCTGACCCAGAAAAACAAAAGAAAGGAAAAGGATCTCCGCTGGAATACGATCCTTAGAATATATGATGAATAATGAACGGATACGATTGCAAGATTCTTAGATTTTCAGGAAAAAGGATCTGATGAAGATTTTTTTTTCTGGATTTGATGATCTCCTGAGCTTAGCATCCTGAGACTACTAAGCAAATCATATGGGCCGTTGGATTTTGATCTAACGACTACAAAAAGATGACTCCTCTAAAAGTTATAATAATTGTAACCGTTTTATCAAAATTCAACGAATCATGTGATTTGCTCTAGTAAGGTTCCCACGATTAAACCGGGGGGGGTCCCACAGTAAGCCCCATCCAACGGTATCCAGAAGCAAATCCGGACGGGGGTATAGTGGTAAAAGGAGGCGGCTCTCTTCTCCTCTCTCAAATGATCTCCTCTCTGACATCACATTCAACTTTGTTCATCTTTCTTGGGAGAGCATTTCTTCAAAGTAAAGCTCTCCCAACCGGAAATTCAATCTCTTCAAATTTATTTTCCGCACACCAGAAAAAAAATAGATAAATAAAAGGAGGAGGGAGGGGGCAAGAGAGAAAATAAGGGGAGATGGGAAGGGCATTTGTGTATGTGATTCTTGGAGGAGGGGTGGCTGCTGGGTATGCAGCTCTTGAATTCACCAAGAGAGGCATCTCCCGTGGTGAACTCTGCATCATCTCTGAAGAATCAGTGAGTTTCCTTTTCCTCCCTCCATTTTTCTTCACGTTTTCAATTGTTCATAGCTGATAATTATATGTCTGATAGATATAATTAATATATATATATATATATATATGTGTGTATATATGGGTGTGTGTATGTGTATATGTGCAATTTCTAAGCTTTAGCTATGTATTTTGAGGAGAAAACAGGAAAAGAAACATGATTTCTTATATAATTTCAAATTCTGGAATTTGGGTTTGTGTTGAAATGTTGTTTAGCGTGTGAGGATGTGGAGAGTTGTCCTGCATCGGAAAATTGAGCAACCTTGCATATCCAATTGGTTTTTGCGATTGGAACCTCAACTTTCTTCGTGTCAAATTGTATTAGCTGATTGGATTAAACAATGTGGACCGTTGGACCTATGAACACTCTTACACACACGATATATACTCGTAGTGTTCGGAATCTATTGCAAATTCTTGCTTTGCATAACTTTTCAAACAAAACAGTGCTATGTTTTTAGCTAAATTTTTCGAAGTTGTTTTAAGGGAAGAGGGAAGACGGAAGATGGTGTATGTATCGTAGAGATTTAATCGAACTTGTGAACTGCTTATAAGCTTCAAAACAATGTCAGGTATAGCAAAACCAGAAAGAATAAGGTTTATGTCGATACATGTAACCACCATCATCATATTCTTTTGTTGATTTGATTTTGTAACGCAAGGGATAAATTCCATGATCGGGAATTCAAGGGTTGCGCTTATATCTTTTTCAGGTTCCACCTTATGAGAGACCTGCTTTAAGCAAAGGCTTTCTACTTCCAGAAGGTATAAAACATCTTCAATTGCACCAACATGAGTGCCTACTGATTACGAAGAAAATATTTTCAATCTCCTGAGTAATCCAAATGCCAATATTTTCCAGCTTACTTTCAACTGTCTGTATCTGAGAAGCTGAATCAGTTTTCTACTGATTGGTCTCCGGATGACTCAATTATATTAAAAAAGAGCAGAAGGACATCGTTATTCCTTCAAACTTATTTTCTTCACACATATCTATCTTCAATTCTGCATTGAATTTACTCTTTTCTTCAATTCCGCATTGAATTAATTCTTGCAAATTGTGTTCATGTGCAGCGCCTGCACGCCTTCCATCATTTCACACTTGTGTTGGTGCCAATGAGGAAAGGTTAACTGCAAAGTGGTATAAGGAGCACGGTAAGTTTCTATGACGTCTTGCTTCTTTAACTTTATATGTTAATAGGAATTCTAGGGGTTGACATCATGTTGTTAGAATATTTGTGATGCTTATGTGCTATAAAGTCACTAAACTGTGGTGCTTTATAATTGAAATCGAAGTAGATAAACTGAATAATTGTTATTATCTTCTTCTTTATAGGGGTCGAATTAGTTCTTGGAACTCGAGTCAAGTCTGTTGATGTGAGACGCAAGACACTACTGACCGGATCTGGGGAGACTATAAGTTACAAAATTCTCATTATTGCAACAGGTGCTCGGGTATTGAAACTGATCTTATTGTACTTCTTGCTTTTCCTGCTGTATATGTTATGTCAGTGCAAAAAGTAGTACAATGGAAACACTCAATTAAAATATAAGCAGTATTGATGTACCACGAAATCAAGTAAAGGAGTATCAATACCGGTTTGAAGAATTAAAATGTTGTCGTAGACCTACAACGTGCTAATTAACTTTTCTACATCTGAGTTAATGTGGTTGCATTGGACATTATTTTTCAGAATATAGAATGCTACCAGTTTAAGGTTATTTTCGAAGGATAGAATGCTAAGGAAAATTCATTTTCCTCATTTAATGGATATGTGTTTGTCTGTTGAAAATAGGCACTGAAGCTCGAAGAATTTGGAGTCAAGGGATCAGATTCTGAAAATGTGTGTTATTTGCGAGATTTGGCTGATGCCAATAGGCTTGTCAACTTGATGGAATCTTCATCTGGCGGGAATGCTATTGTAATTGGTGGTGGCTACATTGGAATGGAGTGTGCTGCATCATTGGTGATCAGTAGGATAAATGTAACGATGGTTTTTCCAGAAGAACATTGCAGTAAGTACTTTTATTCTGATGCAGAGCAAACATAATCGCATCTTTTTTCTGTGTATGTTGTGGGGCATCTGTTTTATTTGTGTGAGAGAGTTCTAGGCAAGCAAATGGATGAATGCTTTTGTTTTTTGCAGTGGCCCGATTATTCACACCCAAGATCGCAAGTTTTTATGAAGAATTTTACAAATCCAAAGGAGTGAAGTTTGTTAAAGGAACCATTTTGTCCTCGTTTGACATTGACTCAGATGGAAAGGTAAATGTTAAAATTCTTCTAGAATAACATATGAACTTTGAGTGGTTAGTGACTGCAAATGTCCTCATGTTCAGGGCATGATAATATTGAGATGCTTTCGTCGAAACAAATTCTGTACTTTCTTAAATAGAGAAACATTGGTTCCATGTGTATAAGATACATTTTCTTTGAATTTGATGTCGCAATTGAGATGCTAAATTTTTCTGCTCAATTCTTGAACAGGTGACTGCTGTTAATCTTAGAGATGGAAGTAGTCTTCCTGCAGACATGGTTGTTGTGGGAATAGGAATCCGTCCAAACACGAGCCTGTTTGAAGGTCAACTTACGCTGGAGAAAGGTGGTATCAAAGTGAATGGAAATATGCAGTCAAGCAATAACTCAGTCTATGCAGTGGGAGATGTTGCTACATTTCCAGTCAAAGTATTTGGCGAGTCCCGAAGGCTTGAACACGTTGACTCGGCAAGAAAATCCGCAAGACATGCTGTTACTGCAATCATGGAACGACACCAAGTTGACGAATTCGACTACCTACCATTCTTTTACTCAAGAGTCTTCACCCTGTCTTGGCAGTTTTACGGGGACAATGTAGGAGATGTAGTCCATTTCGGAGACTTCTCAGGAGGCACATTCGGGGCCTATTGGGTAAAAAAAGGTCAACTTGTCGGGTCTTTTCTTGAAGGTGGAACCAAGGAAGAGTACGAAGCCATAGCCAAGGCCACCAAGCTGAAGCCAGAAGTTGAGGACCTAGCGGAGTTGGAAAGGCAGGGTTTACGTTTTGCAGTGACTGTTAGCCAGGAACCACCGCCATCATCACCACCGCCTCGTGATATTATCAGTTCTGGCATTGTTCTGGAGAGGCCGATATACGCTTTTCATGCAACCGCCGGCGTTGTTGTGGCTGCATCGATAGCAGCGTTCGCGTATTGGTACGGAAGGAAGCGCCGGAGGTGGTGAGCAAATGTTTTGGGGATGTAATATAACCGTGTTGTTGACATGTTGTGTGGCATTGATAGGTGTAGAGATTGAGAGATGCATCAAATATTGGATCGTATTTATTAAGGAAGCAAAACTGTAGTTGAAAATAATTAATGAAATACAAAGAATTATATATTTTTATAAATTTGCATGTCGATATTTTCACTTATATTGATTTTAAATACTGCTAGCATGTGCGATCTCAAATCAACAAAACTCTGTTTTGTGAGAGTCGGAAGAGGAATGTCTATCATGCGCGGTAGATCCAATCTCTTTTCAATTTTTGTCTTTCTCGTTTCAAGTGCTTCAACGTACGTTTTCTTTTATTACAAACGGTAAGATCAACATGCTTCATTGTATGTTTTTTCTTTTAGAAAAAGCAGGATTTTTTTAGTACAATGATATATTTTACACTAAGTATAATCAATTAGCCTAACCAACATTTGCACCTCATGGTTGCACTTTAACATAACCTCATATGTTCTCCCCGTTGCTAGTGAAAGGTGTTGGTAAGAAACCAATTCCATACAGATAAGGTTTTGAATAGAAAAAGATAAGGTCGATAGTAAAAAAAAAAAAAAAAATTATGTGTGTTAGGAATACAGCTCGATACGATATATCAAAGTTAAAAATACAATTGGTTGGAAAGTTGAAAAAAAAAATTCTAATGAATTATATTTTGACACTTGATGTGCTGGGCTGTAAACTCGATACACTGACAAATTTCTCCTTAAATAAAAACAAAGTGAGAAAACATTACTAGTGTCTGGATTCCTTATTTCAACTAGTCCATAAATGATAAAACTAAGTTAACAAGCGGGCATTTGGTCTAGTGGTATGATTCTCGCTTTGGGTGCGAGAGGTCCCGAGTTCGATTCTCGGAATGCCCCTGCGTCCTATTTTTGTGAATTATTTTTCATTTTTACCCTTTTAAAATGCCATTCACATACCTTTTGTACCCCTTTAAAACGGCAACACTAGCGTGCGATTTTGGGGAAATTTTCACAATTAACAAGGGTAAAACCGTCAACCAAAGAACCCAGCACCTACAATATCTCCCATGGACATTTTAGTTCCGCAATTCCTTATCCTATCTTCTTCGCACTCTCCATTTCTCTCCCTCTCTCAGTCCTCAAAAGCTCCGCAACAATGGCTGCCACTCTCTCCACACTCACTCTGGGCACTCCCTCCTACCCCGCCACGCCCACCGCCTCCTCCTTCCCCTCCCACTCCACCAAACCCACCCTCCAATTCCCCTTCAACCCGCAAAACCCTACCCTCACCCACCGCGCCACCCACATACGCCCCCTCGCCGCCGTCGAAGCCCCAGAAAAGATCGAGAAGCTCGGCAGCGACATCTCCAGCCTCACCCTCGAGGAAGCTCGCATCCTCGTCGACTACCTCCAGGACAAGCTCGGCGTCTCCGCCGCTGCCCTCGCTCCAGCCGCCGCCGTGGCCGTGGCGCCAGGAGCGGGCGAGGGCCCCGCCGTCGTGGAGGAGAAGACGGAGTTCGACGTCGTCATCGAGGAGGTCCCGAGCAACGCGAGAATCGCGGTGATCAAGGCGGTGAGGGCGTTGACGAGCCTGGCGCTGAAGGAGGCGAAGGAGCTGATCGAGGGTTTGCCGAAGAAGTTCAGGGAAGGGATTTCGAAGGACGAGGCGGAGGAGGCGAAGAAGCAGCTGGAAGCCGCGGGGGCGAAGATTAACATTGTTTAATCATGAATTAGCGCTCTTAATTAATCGGGTTTTGGGGGGTTTTAGCAAATGAGCTTTGTTTTCGTGTACTTCTATTCGGATTTTTAGGTGTTTAGAGATATGTCATTGCTCTCTTGCTTCAGTTTTCTCAATGCAGTTGGAAATTGTAATTGTAATTTTAAGGTGAAAAAAAATATTTGATTGCTTTGCTTTTTGTAGTTTTATTTGGATTTTTAGCGTTTTCACTTGCATGTTATCTACTAATGTTATCAGCGATGTATCGATAATGTTGATATTCTCAAGTATCGATAACAAGTCAATATGTGCTTATATTAACATGGTACCAGTGGTGAAGCCATAGCAGCCGGCGCAAAACTGCACGGAAGGTGTTCGACGATATGCTTCAATGTGACTAAGAAATCTGAGGTAAGATTGGCTTGTAGGCGAGCTTACGCCATTGGAATTGTCGCTAATCGCACTGGAATTGGATGCAATGCAATCGGAATCGCAGACATTCGAAATCGAAATCGGACTTACAGTCAGGCTCCCTTACTCCAATGTTTCGGTACATTACCATATATCGGAGCATTGCTATTTTTTGCAAAATCAGTGGTTGATAGTAGCAGTGATCTAAAAATCTTCTCCTAGCGATGCCTAGGCCCCACTTATGCATTAGGAGGCTGGCTACCATTTCGATTAATGATTGGGCATTTGAAAATTAAGAAATGGCGTCTAGACCTTCTGAGGTGCTGGCCTAGACCGCCTAGCCCGTCCATGCCGTCCAGACACCTGCCTATGTTGCAACTCACTTAAATAGAAAATAGATAACTTTCCTTTTGCATTTTATTATTTCCAATAAATTGTAAAAGACTTATTAAATACTTAAATAAATACACATTATATGTTTGCTCCTCATATTTTTATTATGTTCCAATACTTTATAATATATATATATATATATATCATTCTATTTTCTAGGTAATAATGAAATTATATATATTTTAAGTATAAACAAATACTTATTTACACGAAATACAATATATTTACTTCAATCCGTATAGTCCGCCTATGCGCTAGACTCCAGTCCGCTGACCGATTAGCGCTTAGCGTATAACGTCTTTTAAAACCTTAATAGTATAATTTGATTAGCTTAGAGATGGTAAATTTTGGCACATCTGATCACTATGGAATATTAGTGTAACTTTCTGTTTAGTCCAATTTCATTACGCAATTGGGTATGAGGAGATGCTCTAGTGTAGCTTTCTGTTTGGTCCAATTTCATTACGCAATTGGGTATGCGCATTATTTCATCATCCATCTTCATGTACAAGTACCATGAAATTGACCTGCCCAAAAAAGCCCATATTTCTTTCTGTTATTGGAATCGGCATGTCGATAATTGCTTCCTTTTTTCTTTTTTTGATCGAATCATTGCGAGTTCATCCCAGACAAAGCAAAACAATTATTGCTAGCAGCCATCGTTATGGGATTAGAGTAGAATTTTATAAATCGCGTACCAACGATAATTGCTGACAACAAGACTCGAAGCTTAATGAGGTAAGACATAAAACATAAATTTTGCCAACTGAGCAAACCATCGTTAACGAACCATATAATCTTTTGAATGTCAATGTGGGGAATTAATATTTTTCTTTTACGAATAACTTATGTATCTATCTTTTCATTGTGGAATGCGTGTCATTGTATACATCCCATGACAAAAAAAAAAAAAAAATGAAAATTTGGTATAATGGTAGGTAGATGGCCGAAGGCAGATGACCCCGATGACCCAATCTATTAATTAATTTAATTTTGTAGCCTTTTTACTACTAATAAACACCTAAATGTCAAATCATAGCTGCATTTTACAGAAGTTTATTGATGACGGTCCAATGGATTGGCTGAATCCACGTGCGTGGATATTAAGCTAATGAACAAATAACAACAGAATGAGAGATTTTCTCATGTACTCGCCCACCCGGAAAACAAAACGTTACATTACGTGTAATAATATAAAGACTCATTTTTATGCACGTTTATTGAAATTCGATTTTTATTTTACTTTGCTCTTTAAAATTCAGAAGTCGTGATTTTACTTTTGAAATCTCAAAATTTACTTCAAATTGCCTTCTTTACTTTGAATTCGTTAAACTTCTGCTAAATTTACCTATCAGACATTTAAACTATGTATGTGGTAGAACCACCACCCAATAAGATTATCCACTGGAAAGGCCACATGTCCAAGACAACTATTTCTACTGTTTAGCTTTCTCTGCCTCGCCGCTTGCGCGCTCGTTGACGGATTTGAGTCCATGACCATACCGGCAGCATCTCGCCCTACCTTTTCCAGGCTACTTTTATCTTTCACCTTCAGTTATCCAGACATTTTTTGGAAAGTATTGGAAAAAGGGAGTCTTTAGAGAGAATTTGTGTATGAGTTTAAAATTTTGACTTGACTTTAGTGCGTCTAGAAAAAGAAAGAGAGAGAGATAAATTCTAGGTTAAATGGGTTCTCGACGGCGAGATAGGGATAAAAGACTGCGAGAAAGTCGTTCACTTCTTATTGGGTTTTGGTTTGTGAATTTGATTTAAAAATTTGGTCTACTTAGCATTATTCGTTTTTAATTTACATCATCATATTTGACAATTTGTAGACAATATTAACATAAACAAGGTAATATGGAGCGAATTTTAAGTTTTATAAAGTAAAATGACGATTTTTTAGTTTCATGTTGCAAAAGATCAAAATCAAGTTCTATGATACACAGCTAAGAATAAGCGTAATATAAATGAAAAAAATGATATAGTTTTTGTTAAATTTTCCTAAATTGAAAGGTGATTTTCTAAATTTAATGTAAAAATATGATTTTACGTTAAAGTAAACAGTACTTGAAACTTTTTATTAAATTTTCCTAAATTGAAAGGTCTCTCATAGTTGTAAACTGGTAGTGGCTGGGATCACCAATCACCATCGCCTTTACGGTGGGTTCTGTTCAATAAAATATACAACGGACACGTGGCGATCATCCATGTAAAATCCGGGGCTTTTCATTTCAAGTCACAACACAGTAGCTTTTCAGCCGTTTGATGTCTCCAATGCCGCAATTGAACCTGCGATCATGATTGCTCCTCTTCGAAATCCCTACAGCAAGAAGTACACTCTCAAATACACAGCGAGTACGTCCCTATTCCAGACTCTCGCGCCTGGGCACCTCGGCAAACCCAAATGTCAGCTGACCGTACACAAAACGTCGAGATGACCGCTCTGGTAGAAGGATCTGGATTCTCTGCCTCCTACTTTCCATACATTCACATTCTCTCATATTTGTGTGATTACGATTAAGTTACGTCAATATTTTATATTACTATTAATTTTTATCTTATTATTTTTATAAAAAAATCAATATAAAACGTTAATGTCGCTTAATCGTGACCGTACAAAATAAGAGGAGATATGAGTGTAGGGGAAGTGGGAGGGCAGAGAAGTCTGGTCCCTGTTTGAAAACTATCCAACAGGATTCTCTCTGAATCATTTTGGTGAGGATCTTTGAGATTCGTAAATCATATTCATTTAGTTTTTGTCAAATATGTTTGTTTAATTTTAAAATAATTTATAATCGCACAATATACGATAAATGAACAAGATTGACGAATCTTCAGAACTCTCATAAAAAAGATCCGGCGGAGATCAAGATTCGAAAACGACAACAAAAGCGAAATAGCCGCGTCGTCTCAAGTCTCAACCCCCACTCTCTCCTTCTCCACTCTCTGAGCTCCCACCACCACCACCGCCTCACGCCAATTTCTCGCCCGTTTTACCGCGATATTCCCCCCCTCCATCCGCCAATTCTCTCTCTCCCCCTCACCGTCTCACGTACAAAACGTATTAAAAAAATTCAAAGTTTGAATTCGGATTTTTCTCTTCCGGAATTCAATTCGATTCCGGAAATCCGTATTCTTTTGTTTTCGTAGTTTTTCTCTGAGAGAAAAAGAATCGTTTCCGGAGCTTGCAGGTTTTGTTTGACAAATAAAAATAAAGCTTGAAGCTTTTGGTTTCTTCAGGTAATATAATTTCCCTTTGTTTTTATTTTTCGGTTGTATAATATATATTGTATTTGTATATGTTTGTATACATTTAGTTATTGTATAATTTATATTAATTCCCTAATTTTCGTGAAAAAAAAAAAAAAAAAAAAGCAAAAGCAAAAACCTAAACCCTAGAATGTGCTGATTTTTACATAATTTTTTGTTTTCGTTTTTGGGTTTTGGCTTTTGTATATGATTTGGTTCAGCTGTGAAATCAAGGTTTGAGCTTGAGCTTGATTTTCCCGGGAAAATATTTTTCCAGGAATTGGGAATGGTGGGGACGCGATCTACTATATCCCTGGAGGAGGATTTGGGTTCTGCACCTGGACCGGAGAAGCTTGAAGTTCCAGAGGAGAAGACGATCAGGGAAGTTGTGAACGACTCGGGTGGGGGCCGGGCTGGCTCAGGTGGGTCCGGTCGGGGAAGTGCCGGCGGTAGAAGGAGTTTTGGGAGCCTGAACGTTGATGTATCTGATGCTGAGGAGGGTTTGGTACAGCTGAAAGGGAAGGGGAGTGTTGAGAAGTTGGAGTCGGTTTGGAGTAACGAGAAGAAGGCGGTGAGTGGCGGTGCTGAGGCGGAGAGTGGAGGGAAAGGAAGAGGGGTTGGAGAAAATGGGGGTTCTTTGGATAGGATTGGAGAAGGCCCTGATGGGATTGAGACTCTTGAGGCCGGGACTGATGTGAACGGAGAGATGGAAGAGAATGGGAGCTGTTTGGATGGGATTGGAGGAGATCCGGATGGGAAAACTGAGGAGATTAATGAGGACATGGATGATGAGGGACATGAGTTTCTTGTTGGGGATTTTGTGTGGGGAAAGATTAAGAGCCATCCGTGGTGGCCTGCACAAATTTGTGATCCTTCTGACGCTTCGGAGTATGCCCTGAAATTGAAGGCCAAAGACAGGCTCCTGGTGGCGTATTTTGGGGACGGAACATTTGCTTGGTGCAATTCTTCGCAGCTGAAACCGTTTGAGGAGAATTTTGGGGAGATGTCTCGGCAGAGTAGCTCGAAGGCGTTTGTTAATGCTGTGCAGCAGGCTGTGGATGAGGTTGGAAGGCTTGTGAGGTTGAAGATGAGTTGTATATGTGTAAAGGAAGAGTTCCTGGGTGAGGTTGGTCGGCCGTTGGCAGTAAATGCCGGAATTAAGGAAGGAGTTCGTGTGCCAGAAGGCAGGGTTGGGAAGCTTTTGGATTGTGTTTCTGAGCCAGCAGAGCTTCTTGCTGAGTTAAAACGTGTTGCAGAAGTTATGTCCATGTCTAGTGAGCTTGAGCTGAATGCTTTAAAGAGTTGGTTGTCTGCATTTTATTGTTCAAAAGGAGGGTATCGTTTGCCTGTTTTCATCGAAGCGCAGCCAGTTCCTGGTCTCGAGGATGATTGGAGGGAGGTGGATGTCCCGTCCAAGGGCCATTTGAAGACTGGTTTTCTTCTCCCAGAAAAACAGGACAAACTGATCAACCTTTAAACGAAAGCTCAGCTCAAGGTTTTGAGAATAGGCAACACCAAAGAAGGAAGCAGAAGAGCATTGCTGATCTTATGGAAGAAGACGATGATATTCAGGCGGAAACTAAGGAAGGAGCAACCTCAGAGAAAGCAGGGGCATCATCTGGACAGAACAAGCGGAAAGGTGGCGAGAATCATAGTGAGAGTAATTTGACTTCTGAATCCGGAAAGAGAAGGGCCAAGCTTTCAAAGACGCCAACAAGCTCGCAGATGAAAAAACTTGCTAGTGTTGAAAATGGTGCTAGTGAAACTAAGAAGGGTGTCTTAACAAGGAGCAGGAAGAAGGATGAACGTATTGCAATTGATGGCAATGGTGGCGAGACCAAAGAAGAAGCTGGCGATAGTCCTGCTTCAAGAGACGAGGAATTGCGCAGTGGCGGTTCACAAACTGACATGAAGGACCAAATTGATCACCCCTCTTCGACAAGAGAGAGGAAAAGGAGCAAGTACTTGTCCCCTCCCTTCATAAATCTAAGACTGGAAAACGGAGTCTAGACATTGAAGTAGAATCTCTGAAAGTTTCTAATGACAACCTTGTTGGGTCACCGAAGATTCTGAGTCCTTTCACGGAGACATTACAGAAGAAAGACTCTACAGAACTTATTGGGAATGAGATAACTGGTGGCTCGAGTTCGAAAAAACCTTCAGAAGATGAGAAGAGCATTGATCCGATGAAGGCTAATGTATCTACTCATAAAGTGCTATCTGGACTCCGCTCTGCAGCTGTTAATCCATCATCTCGAGTAGAAAAGAAATCCTTTAAGATTGTTGGGGATTTCGTGGCCATATTCAGAGACTCGATTTATCACAATGGCTCCAACTACGAACTGTACAAGAAGAAGCAACCGCATAAGAAGAGAAAGAAGTTAGAATCTGAACCTGGCTCAATGGGGAAAGACCGAAATCAGATCACAGAAAAGCAAACTGAATCTGGGAAGAAGAGAACCAAGAAGAGCAGTGAGACAAAGTCCGATAAGTCTACACCAGGGCAAGCTACTGAGACATCAGGTTCAGAGCCTGGTAAGCGAAAATCAAAGAATGCTTCTGGAACTCCGGATTTGAAGAAAAGGCGTAAGAAGACCGATGAAACAGCTTCACCGGCATCCCTTTTTGTGACATTTGGCCCTGGGTCCTCTCTCCCCACAAAATCCGATCTTATCAAGATTTATGGTAAATTCGGAGAGCTGGACGAAACAGAAACAGAGATGTTCTACACCAATTTCTGCGCTCGTGTTTCCTTTGTAAAATTTGCCGATGCACAAGAGGCCTTCAACCATTCGCAAAATGACAGTCCGTTCGGAGCTGCCAATGTCACTTTCCGGCTTCATAATCTGGCAGCTGCTTCGAAGGTTCGCGAGCTGAGTGAAATATCCAATTCTGCTCCTGCCAAGAAGTCCAGAGGCAAGACCAGAACCCAGGCATTAGCTTCACAGCCACCCACCGCTGTTGGTGAGGCGTCACAAGTCGACTTAATCAAGCAGAAACTGGAGAGGATGACCTCAATGCTGGGTGATTCAAATGGCCAAGTGTCGGATGTGACGAAATCGAAACTGGAGAGCGAGATAAAGGAGCTGTTGGGGACGGTAAGCACGATGGTATAGTCGTCGTCGTAGACGAGCTTCTCTGCTAGGGTAATTTGAACCTTTTGTTTCGGCACACAATCCCAGTCATGTTATATAGTTAGTGAGCGAGCGCGTATGCAGGCGAAGTTAGTATAACTCTATGTAACTAGTTGCTTTGGCCTATAAATATAGATATCAAAAGGAGTTATGTTTGATGTAAATTTCAGTTTTCTTCGGTCTTCCGAACGGAACGACGCGCAAACTTTCGAGGAGATGCAGAAGCAACATGGATAATGTTCCAGTGATGAATAAGTATGGCAAAGTGAAAGAGAGTGTTAAGCCGAATACTAGACGATGAACATGATAGCTCGAAAACGAGCGCCCAAACTGATTGCGGTACAACACGAACTACTACTCAAGTTTCATCGTACATATTAGCGTAATTCCCTCTGCGTATGATTTGGAAGAATTTAAATTCACACGACAGAAGCAACACATTTAATTTGTTCCCAGTTGGTATTTAGGTACAAGTGTCTGGTGTCCGAAGAGTGTATTGACGGAATAAGGAAACAGAGAATACACATTCCGGTGATGCTCAGTCATCGACAGGATCCTGGGGTGTTTCCTCTGCACTGCGCTTGATTGTGATGACGGGGCACTCAGCGTGCTTCACACAGAACTCGCTCACAGTCCCAACAAAAACCCTGCACATAAAAGAGAGAAGGGAAATTCTATTAGTAAATTGGATTAGCCTTATAAGGAAAACTAATAAAAAGAGCTTGAAAACCTTGAGTTTTAACGAAAATAACAAAATAAAAGGTAAAGTGAATAGTACCAGAATTGACTTTTTAGTATAAAAATATGATTTTTCGTTAAAGTGAACTAGTACTAGGAGCTTTCCGTTAAAGTTTCCTATTATCTATGATAGGTATATAACCCAATTATCCGCTAGTTTCAAAAGATGCGAGAAAAGGACGTCTGCAATCTAAGAAGGCTAGGAACAGTTGATATCAAGGTAAGGACTTCTACCTCTGGAAAGGTCCAAGCCCCCGACAGCCCACCACCAGAAAGTCTGGCTGGACACGCCTCACCTCACGGCAGATTACTTCCTTGGCGTCCCCTCTTTTGATCCATGCTTCACAAGCAACCTACGATAATTCCAACATGTAGATGTTATCTCAAAGTACAACTCAGTATTCTTCGGATGGAATTATTTATAGTTGCCCTCCATCCCAAAACACAGAAGTCTGTACCCCAATTGCATGACATCTGTCAACAAAGAACTCCAGCAGATGAAGCCCTCTGGCGCGGTCTCTGTCCTTCATGTTTTTAAAATCCTCCGGCGATGCATAGACACTGTCCATGTCATCAAAACCTATTATAGAAAGAGGGCAAAACATATTATTATCAGTAACAATTAGTTGCCAGCAAATGCACAGCGAGGAAGATGGGTTAAAATCACATCATTACTAAGAAGGAAAAAAAGCTTGGACGGCTTTTCGGACAATCAAAATGAAGTGCTAAGCACGCTCAAATCAACAAGAATAAATAGAAGCTCAATTAGATATAGCTGGAGTGATTGACATTGTTCATACAGCAATGAACTCATACCAATTCGGGATCATAATTTCTCTATGCTATGCTCACAGTTGACAGTAGAGAACTGCATCGACAACAATTATGATCATGATCACGATGTTTGGGTCACACAATGCCTTTTGACATGACGAGAAAATACATGAAGCACGCTATACTAAAACAGAAATGAAGTCACCCTATCAAAGCAAACATAGGACATACAATCATAAACAAATTAAATTGCACAGAAAATGATCAGATCTCGCAATCAAACTCAAAATTGGAAGTCAATGTATAAATATTCGCCGCTTAAACGAACTAGAAAATCGACTATAAAAAATGAAAGAAGTGATCAGACTACTAAAATGCTATCAAGTTCTCCCGTTCGGTACCAAATTCTACTGAAAATTGCTTAATTACGCAGCAGATTACATCTAATCAACAATCATCGCCTATTAATTTCAGTTTACAAACCAAATGACACTGACAAATTACTGATAGCGAAGCCAATCACCCCTAACCCTCCTGATCCAATTATTTCACTTATTTCACTAATTTCCAGTAGAAAATTACAGTTACGCTTTCAATTTCCTCATCCTTTCATTTTCTATTCAAATTCCTCCGTTTTCTCGGCAACCAAACAGAGCACAAGCACAATTACAAAATCGAAAATCACAAAAGTAATAACAGAAAGATAGAGCAAGAGAGATGACCGTCTTCATCGGGGACTTGGACGTGCAGGAACTGGAGCTTGAAACCACTGGTGTTGGAGCGCACGATCTTCTGGAGCGTCCACTCGAACGCCTTCCTGCTGCTGATGGAGGGGTGCGGGTAGCCCTTGATGGTCGACTCGTTCACTGCCAGCATTATCCGGGTTGGCTCGCTTGCCATCTTCGCTTCGCTTACGACACTGAGTCGACTCGCTTGCCGATTCGAACTGTCTGGAACCACAGTACTGTCTCTCTCTCTCTGATGAAGTCGGTAACTGAAGGATGACTTGCTTCGTTTTGTGGGTTCGCAGCCGTAAGCCCGATTAAGCACATCGCGCATCTTGGCGTAGGATAGGGCATATCCAATAGAAGGGTGCTAACCTACGCTGTTCAGTTACTGACAATGTGCCACGCGGCAGCATATAAAAGCGTGTCATGCCATGGCTTGTCAAAAATTGACGGGCCCATGTCCTTTCCTAATTCATCAAAGGAAATCTATATCATTGAAATTTAATTTAATGGTTAAAATTATTATAACTTTTAAAGTGATTTCATGTTTATAGTTGTCGGCTGAAGTTATTATAACTTTTAAAGTGGCCACCTGTTTGTAACTGTTGAATTAAATTTCAATAGTCTGATCCCTGATTTGATGGATTAAGAGGAAAGGATCCGAACAGCATCCCTCTCTGGTTGTGAAGAGTCTTTTTCGTCTAATTGAGTCATTTAAGGTCTAAACCTGGTTAATTACTCCATCGCCATTGTTTTTTTTTCTTTTCTGTTCTATTTTTCTTAATGAACTAATTCGATAATTCAATATTGACAAGTATGTGGATAAATTTACCATCAACAAGTCACTTATAGAAATAATATTATCAATACTTTAATTACATAATTATTTACATATGTGTGAGCATAAATTTACGTAACAAGTAACTGATGACATGACATTAAATCATTGAAAACATCGTCAAACAGCGTCTCCTTAGGTGGATAAACAATGTTTTCTTTAAGGTTACGGTTAATCGTGTGATTTAGCCAAATTCTCTTTCTTTAAAATAGAATACCGTTAACTCATTTTGTTTTTCTTTCTAATCTATGGTATATCATTCCCCAACCGAGAGATTTTTTTAGTGAGTCCGAAACACAGGGCAGAACATCATTTGTCATAAATTAATACAATTAAAGAGATACTTAAAAAAATAATTTTTCTAATTGTATAATAAGATTTGATGTTCTCCTCCCATTCTAAACACACCGAAAAATCTTGCTCAATCCCACCAAATGTTACAGTGACAAATGTAACATTTCATTACCGTCAATGCTTCCGACGTCGGTTGTTCATTTCTCAACTGAACTCATGATTTGAAAAGATCTCAACGTAACATTTCATTAGCGTCAATGCTTCCGACGTCGGTTGTTCATTTCTCAACTTAACTCATGATTTGAAAAGATTACTGGTGTAAGTTCACAGGTGATACTGATAGCAACACCTTGCATCAAACAAAAATGTGAATAGTAATGTGAGTAATTGAAGGACAAGGATTGTCTGCCATTCCGTGCCTTCTTGCTTGTGTGGTCACAGTTAAGCCACGTCAATATTTTATATTACTATTCTTTTTTGTCTTAGTATCTCTATAAAAAAATCAATATAAAATGTTGACGTAACTTAACCGTGACCACACAAAATAAAAAGGTACGAGAAGGCATCAGAAATAGAAGGGCGGACAATCCTTGTCCGTAATTAAAAGGCTGGTTATTTTAATTTTCTAGAAAAAGGCAACCAACTCCCAGTTTTTTCTTGCTCTCGTGCCGCGTCCTGTCACTCTCCCACTGCCACAAACTTCCCTATATCCTCACTCAGTCTCTCTCCAAAACTACTCCATTTTTTGTGATTTATAATTCATCTATGTAGAGAAATTTTTAAATATGTCGAGAATTGTCTGATCTAACAACTGTCATAATACAAGTGGTTAAATACTTAAAAAAAAAATCAACCATTTGTATTATATTGGATTGTGTACTGGTAACACTGAAAATCTCTTGTCCATTTCAAGGTAAATATGATAATTTAAACGTAAACACCATGAAAATTACATATTGGCAAAATTGAAACAAGAAAGTTCTTAAATTATGAACATTAGAGAAAACTGCGGCATATTCAAAGTTGGCGTTTCTGTACGAGCTAGTGATTTTCACACTTGCAGTTTCTTCTCCTCCTGCTCATTTGTTGTTTTAGCCTATTAATTCCCCTGTGATATATTCACTTGTAAAGCTAACAAAAGACTTGAGTACTGAACGAGAAAATAAGAGTGCGTAAATCATTTCTCTTATGTGAATAAGAAACTATTAAACAGATAGCAAAATTGAATACAAATTAAATTACATTACACAAACAATAATCGTATACAATTAATTTACGTTCCCTAATTGCCCCTTATTACCCAGAGATTGAGTACCAGTAAAGGAAACTCTCCCAAAGCCCAGATGTCCAATCTGGTACAACTCTAGCCACACCCTCTCCGCCTCCAGCCTCGCCCCGCCACACTCCGTTTCCTCCTCGCCGTACCCGCCGCGCCGTGAAACCTCAGGTATTTTCCCCTCCTCCTCCCCTCTCTCCACCACCCACTCAATCCCTCTTTTACTGCTCCCACCCTCCTTGCATTTTCTCCTCTTGTTTTCCCGCTTTTGCCCCTTCCTCTTCCCCAGTCCCAAACACTTCCTCCCCACCATCCACGGCACTTTAACGAACGCCAGGGTCAGAAAGTTCACCACCGCGCAGGGGCAGCAGCAGAGCGCCACGCAGTCCGCGATCAACGCACCGCAGCACGACTTGCAGTAGCTCCCCGTGCACTCGATCCGGTCCCCCGCGGCGTCGTCCACGGCGTACCGGCTCTTCCGCGTGGCTGTAGTGGTGTGTCCCGCGGATGACATGTGACACGCTCCGCGATGGTCGGACGACTCGGACGATGACGACGAAGACGACGACGAACTGCCGTGGTGGTTACGTAACGCCCGAGGCGGGTTATTGTCATCCATTGGATTTTATCTAACCTGCAAAAGATGAGAGATTTTGTAAATTTCAACGGCGATGCGGGAAGAGCGTATATTTTGATCCCGGGTTTCTGGGGAGGGGTTTTTCCTACATTTTTATGCTTTATACTGGGACGTGGAAGGAGAAAAATGCGAAGATATTATTTTCTTTCATGCATATCTTGGAAATTACAAAAGGGCAAAGTGGTCCATTGAATTGTTTTGAAAGAGAGTTGCATCATGGTTCATTAACTCGGAAGTAATTTTAAAATAATTGAAGATTTTTGTTAAAAATGTTTTTGAAATCAATCCTTAGTAAAAATTCAAGTGGATCATGAAAAAACACTTTAAGTGTTTTCTGTAAAAAATACATATCTGATGCTTCTTTTAAAAAGCAATTAAAATGCTTTTTAGACCCAAAATCAAATTCACCAAAAACGATTTTAGTAATTTTAAATGCATTTTCAAACAAGTTCATAATGTAAAATATCCATGCCGTATCAGAAATTATGGGTAAAACTTACATGCAAATGGGTAAAAGATGTACAAAATGTTTATTGAATAGTTTTGGCAGATGAAACCAAAGCGTTTGAATGACAAATGTGCCCCATTAACAAGGATGGATTTTCATGTGAAATGACAGGCAAAGTGAACGAGCCAGTTCGGTACTACTTCATTCGTGGGGCAGAGATTTGAGGGTTAAAACTTTTCGTAGTGAGTCGGAAAATTTGAGTCCTAAATTTAAACGTCGAGCTTAACAGATCTCGCGAGTTTAGTTCTTATAATAGGGAATCTTTACCAAACTTGCCTATAAGAACAATTGTGTTATTGGGTTTTTCATAGTAGGTCGAAATTTGAGTCACGAATCAAATTCAGACAACCGGATTCCTATATGCTTGTTGTGAAAAACATAAGGGCAAATTGGTAAATGGAGTGGTAGTGGTGACAGACAGAAGGGCACATATACACCGATAGTGCAGCGCGGTATGAATTAGGGTTTTTGGTTGAATGATGAATGCATGGAGAGAGGTTAAAAGGTAAGGTAGAAAATGGAAAGGGGAGGAAAAAAGGTTAAAACCTGAGTTTATGAATAAGTTTCCCTCAATGTGTTTTCGTGAGACAAATGATCACTTCGTGTCTCTGCCTAATCCAGCTTTCTTACAATTTCTGTTCTGTCCTATCTCTCCATTCTCATCTTCCACCAATCAGTTTAATTTTTGTCTAAATATAATAACTCCAACTTTTCCTACCACACCAACTTTTACGAGTTGAGATCTTCCTCGGATCTCTGTGTTAAGAGTTCAAAGAGTAGAAAATTTGAACTGTTGAAGAGAGAGAGAGAGATTCGGACTTTTAGTTCGTGTGAGATGAACCAGCGAAATTGACTAATGAGAACTATATGATTTAAAACGAGTGGTTAGGATTTTTTAATCCGTTGACTCCAGATATAGTGATCCGGAGAGGATCTCAATTCAACTTTTACATTAAATTTATTATCTATTTTACAAACGATGAGATATTTATGTGCTTTCTTTTTATATCCAAGTTTGAATTTACCACGACTAGAAGGGTAGCAAGTATTTAATCTTATAAAACAGCTAAAATTATAATAGTTTAGGCTTGATAATAAAACTAGGTCCCTTAACGTTGTACCCTATGAGTTGTTTTTCTCTTTTTTCTAAGAGCGGTATTTATTAAAACTTTAACAATACATCTAAGAGGTCCAAAAAACAAGCATATGAACATTACTATGAAAATAATAATATCAAAAATTTAAACTAAAGTAGACAAAAATCGCAAAATGAACATTATTATTTAGCTTCCAATAAAGATTTGTCAAGCACTTGACATTTTTGTTGAGGATAAATCGAAAATGTTGGGATGGGAATCAAGCTCTAAAACAGAGAAATTTTTTAGTATGTTCGGAACACAAGTTAGTGCATCACAATTATTATAAAGTATGGGGAAAGTGTTTTTTTTTTTTCAAGTATGTCTCCAATTGTATAATAGCATGTAACATATCCCTGTGTTCCAAAAATCTCTCCTAAAACATGCCAAAAGTCATGTGAAAAAGCAAATGGAGGTCTCTCTTTATCCAAAAAAGACAATTAGATAAAATTGTATAACTTTTGTCAAGAGTTAAATTCGAAAGGAAATGTTACCATAAAATTGATGCTATGAGTTTTCTGTATACTGAAAACTATACTTGATTGTCTTAATGCACTGTCAAAATCAACACACATCAATTGCACGAGATCCACATTGTAGATTTGGGGGAAACAAAGTATGAATTGAGATCCTCTTCGGATTTGTGTCTAGAACCCGAAAATTTGGACAAATTATTTTAAATTATGTGGCGCTCATTAGCCCATCTTTCTGACTCACATCACCCAAACCAAGGGTTTAGATCTCTCTCTATTCAACGATTGGGATCTCCAAACACAAAAATTCAAAGAAGATCTCAATTAAAAAAATATTACCATTTTTGAAGCATTATCAAATCTCGTGTTCTAATAAAATATTGTCAATGTGCTACTAATTTTTAAGTTCTAATCTACGGAAGTTCACATGGGGCCTAAGATACGACCATGATTGAAAAAAAAAAATTTAAAAATACAGACATACAAAACTGACTACATTAACTCCATATTAATACAAACAAATTCTAACGTTATATCAGCAATACGACATTTATTTTATTAAAAAATGTATCAGCAACGTATAATCTAGTTTCATCCATCCCAATTGGCAGGTCTAGAAAGCAGAAAGAATCATTTTGAAAGAAACAACACTAAATTTGGGAGAGATTCGAATGCGAAAACCAAAAACGATGAGATGGGAATTTGCAGTTTGGGGTTGTTGACTGAGGGAAAAGAGGATTAAAAAACTAATAATAATTAATTAAAACATGGAAAAGAACAATGGCAGGAAATTAAAGTCATTAATCAAATTTAGAAAAAGAAAGTATCACAATCATACGTATATAGTATATAGATATAAAAAACGGTGGATCTGAGCTAATCGTTTGTTTAACTGATCACATGTGAGAAACTAGACTCTGAACTGAGAACAAAATTTTATTTTGCTGGGAACACATTTTGGTATATGAAATATATTGATACAATTAATTTAAATTTCTTTGTTAAATTTTTAACTAATTATATTATTATATATAGTGTACTGAGACGTATTCCGACACACTGAAGAATCTCTTGAGAACTAAGGAAGATGCATGTCCAGTCATTAGTAGCCAATTAAAGTGTAACTTTCAATGATGACTTCAAAAATGATCGCTCTAAATCATGGATAATATTTGTGCGGTAGACCTGTATAAACAGTTAGCGACATATAAACTTATTAGGCGATTAACGATTTAACAGTAGCATGTATAATGTCAGTGTATATACCTATTATTTTTAAGTTTGTAAAAATGAACAGTACAATCCCCCTCAAATTCCAATCACTTCTTGTATTATAACATTTATTGTATCATATTTTCGGTACACTGAAAAATTTATTGTTCGCAGGCATACGGACTTAAATAAAAAGGTTAAACATGAGTGGGACCCATCCGCAGTAAATAAGCCAATCACCAATTGAGCAATTATAAAAGGTAATTAGATTGAGTGAAAGAAATCACTCACTAAGAAGCACAGCAAATGATATATCACATCACAGCAATGGCTTGCAGTTGCATGAATTGTCTAGCAATATCTAATCTACATTCCACATTTTTTCTCTTCATTCGAGTTCGAGCGATAGTCTAATTTAATCTAAACTACGATGCGCGAGTTCATACAGACATTCGTATTTGTATTCTACGGGAAAATGAATGAATGAGAGCAGTAATGCAAATGTGTATAAAGGAAGTGAAAGATAGAACTGACCTGGAGAAGCAAGATCAAATCAAAGGTTGAGATTTAAGTCCAAGCATGCGATCTTGGGTCGACTCTGGATGATGAGAAAGCTCGATCGTTGGAATACAATGTGAAGTGCGTACTGAAAGATGAACAAGTTGGAGGTTCGATCTGATCTCAAATGCCCAGATTATATATATTTCCACCGCTTGTTTATGTAACATCTATGCAAGCAGAAGAAAGAATCGCTCAACTCTCACTCTCTCTCTTACCCTTTCTCTCTCTAGCTCTCTCTGAGTCTGTGCAACTTTAATCTATTGTTTACTGACTTGTAAAGCTTTGTTAATGAAAGCAAAAGATTTTCTTATATAAAACTCTGCAGAGGGAGAGAGAAAGTGAGGGAGAGTTGAGAGAATGATGAGAGAGAGAGAGAGAGAGAGGGAGAGAAAGAGAGGGCATTGGCGTTGGTTTTCATGAGTACCGATGACAGCGAATATAGGGAACTGTTCCTCATCTACCCTGCTCTTTTACCACTCTTCCTCCTCCACCCTGCTCTCTGCTGCCCTAAACCTCTCCGTTTATTTCTCCGTTACCGTCAGTTTGGGATGGCGTCGTACAAAAAGAGTAAATTGGAGCAATGATCATTTAACTAAAAATCTATTACTATTTGTCCCTTAACTCATCAAAATGTGTAGCTATGATCATTTTCGTCAACTTCTTCAGAATTTTGTCAAAATAAGTTATGTTAGAAGGACTATTGCTACAATTGAAATCCTTTAACTAATCAAAATGTGTAGCTATAGTCATTTTGGTCAACTTTGTCAAAATTTTGTCAAAATAAGTTATGTTGGAATGATCATTGTTACAATTGGGTTAAATTTTGAGGGACCATTGCTCCAATTGAGTTAAAGTTGAGAGATCATTTCTTCAGTTGAATTAAAGTTCAGGGACCAATGGTAATGAATTTTTAGTTGAGGGACCATAGTTGCACGTTTTGATGAGTTAAGAGATCAATGATAATGAATTTTTAGTTGATGAACAATTACTCCAATTGAGTTAAAGTTAAAGGACCATTGTTACAATTTACTCTAAAAAAAAACACTTTTGCTCTTAAGCGATTCTGCCAAAAATATTTTTGTCAATAACACGTCAAGTCTAGTTGCTTCTTGCACCCAAAAATCCTTTCAAACTTTTAGTCCTAAACCTTTGTAGGAAAGATTGTTTCTTAAAAAATATAAAGGTTTTAAGGTTAAATTTCAAAATCCCTAATTTCAGCAATTTTATGAAAAGTGTTTTTGCTAGAGTGATTTACTTTTGAAATTTAATCGAATAAATTTGTTACTATTGCTTGCAAACCATGATTCAATTTGTAAACTTTTAACTTGGTTAATTAAACAGTTAAATAGGAATTACTAATATTTTTAACCAGCGTAAGGATATGGTTCTCAATTTTCAAGCAGGACCTTGTAAGCTGTCACACGACCCACCACCCACTGATATATTACTAAATTGTTACTTTAAATTATTATTTTTTTGTTACAAAAAGCTTAGAGCGAGGGAGGTTACCTATTTCAGAATCAAGCATAACATAAGTCTCTTTGATAACTTACAGAATGACTCTCTTAGCTCATTATTTTGATTTTCACAACTCGTGCGTTAAGAGAGATTGACTGCAGTAGAACTCAAACCTAAGTCTTGATCTTAGCTCAACCGACTCTCGTTAGCAATTGATACGCATTTCATTTTATCAAACAAATAATAATCTTTGTATTTTGTTGAAATAGATACATAAATAAACATTAATCATGAGCAGCACAATGCATGTCGAGAATATGGTCATGCATGCATCTCTCCCTGCAATCTGCATCTCAATGTCCGGTTCGGTTGGGTTGACTCAGGAGTAGTCATGTGTCCTTGAATCTCTTTTTTCGTTATCTTTGCATATCTCTGTTGCCGGCCATTTCGATCAAATTCTGGTCTGTTTTTCTAAACTAGTTAACATTTTAACAACCATTCGACAAGATTAAGGACAAGGGAAAGGGCAATACCATTCATATATATATATATATATATATGTTTTATTGGTCTTATTCTTATCGTTCTGACTTGTTTTCACATAGAGTTTGACGGTCAGAGAGAAACTACAAGTCTTGATTTTGCCTATTTTGAATGTTTCTGCACAAGAATATAAACTTCAAATTCAAACATTGGTATTTAAAACTACAAATTGATTTAGATAGGACTATTTTTGAACTTCCATATAGAGATGAGCAAGTCAAGGGAGAACCGCTTGCTGGTACTTGTCCCACATCGACCTGATATCAGTACATAGATATAAAGCTTAATATACCATGCGCAAGCCAAAGTCATCGCCTACCGTTGGAAATCTCTTTCTTGATTAGTTTTTAGTCACCGGACCCACTTAGTGACGTCATGATGATGTCGCTCATTACCAGCGGGCTCAAGATCGGACATATGTTGCTCGAACTTTCAGGTGGGTTTCACACGGCCCACCACTTGCTCTCTTTTTCTTAGACTGCCGAAAGTGGTTTTTTGGGATTAAAGGGCATGTTTAGGGCCCTGCTCAAGGTCGGACATATGTTGCCCGATCTTTTAGGCGAGCTTCACACGGCCCACCACTTGCTCTCTATTTTTTAGACGGCTAGAAGTGAATTTTGGGACTAAGAGATGGTTTGGTATTACTTTGCTTTGAAAAAAAACTGTTTCTGATGTGCTGTGAGGATAAACTCATTTTTACTGCTTCACGTTTTTAACTTTTTTTCACCCAAACTGTAAAAATAAGCTGTTTTTAAGTGTTTATCAAACACCTTTTTGAGCTTAACTTTTTTTTTTATCCACTTTTTATAAAAGCATCTCAATACCAAACCAGTATTAAAGGGCATGTTTAGGGACACCAACGGATGGACATGCTCTAAAAACTCTCTTTTTATGGTTGTTTCTCCTTCTTTGGTTAGATTATCTAATGAGGCATAGGCCCATAGAAAATGGGCTGAATTTGCTAGTCAGACAGGGTAGTCCACTGTCCAATAACATCAACTGTGGGTTCATCAGAGGTGTAAACCCTAAAGGCCCAGAAAGAAAAGCTTATAAAATCCCCGCAACCAATGCCATCATTAACTGAAAACCCTAACCCCTGACCCCTCCTGTTCGCAGCTCTCGCCGCCTCTGTTCGCAGCACTTTCTTCTTCTCCTTCGTAATTTTTGTTTGAATATTTGTTGAATTTTATTGATCGAAGTTGTGTATGTGTAATATTTAGATGGCAACGATGAAGAGTGCTTTAAATTTCTGACACCTCTTGTATGAGAAGTGCCTGTAAAAGGGCTCTTCGCTGAGCACTGTTAGCAACTCTCTGAGCCTCCCTCTTCCCACTTTCTCCTCTTTTTTTTTTTTTTTTTTCCTTTTATTTGCTTGAAATTTATTTTTAGATTTTTATACATTTAATTTTTTTATTGGGCACTTTTTTAATGAATTTAAAAAATTGCTTTGTTGCGTTAAACTCGTTATTTTAATGAATTTTTAATATATCATGTTGTTTTGTGTCTAATAAATAGGTTACTGCTAAGTCGTGATGTTTATATTTAACAAACAATATCTAATCGAATTTTTAACTGTTTGATTCAACTCATTAAAAGGTTTTTAATCGACGATTTGATAATAATTCGATTTGTTAATAAGTTTATTTGAAATATGTAATTTTTGTGTCATTTTATATTAGATTAACATATCGGACAAGAAATTGCCAAACTTACCTCGAAACATCAAAGATGCTATTAATTTAGAGATGTTCCAAAACTTTCTCACTTGCATTGCTCAACATTTTACACACTGGGAAATATAACAACTGGGTAGAACCCTAATTGAAATCCCGGAGTTTTTTTTATGAACTATAGCAGCAATGTACTCTTCCGGACAAAAGATTTGTAAGCTTTCTGTTCGACAATTCGAATCGATTCTGGACAATATTAGAGCCCCCATTGCCCACGAACTTGTTCTTCAACATGCTCGTCGCTTCTGCTAACTTCTCGGCCTCTTCTTCTCCGTCAACGACTTGATCGAAGCAAATGTATCTCCCAAACGCTGCCTTGTTCATTGCCTCAAACACGCCTACATGTGCCTCTGCCAGTCTTGTTATATCGACTGTGGCTAGCACACCACTTTGGTACATTTGTTGTGCTCCTGTATTTATAGACAATCAAAATTGGTAAAAATTAAAAGGAAAAATGTGAATTTTGACTTAAAAATACAACTTTAGCCCCTCGGTTTGAGCATCGCTAAGATGGCGGTGCTCAATGGGTTTAGTGTGCGACGGCGTGACTATATGAAAACGGGTAAATGGAGCCTCGAGTGAAGAGCAGAGAGCCATGAGCTTGCTTCTTCTCATAGTGCTTCGGACATAGATTGCCTTAATATTTCAGGGGATGGTTTGGTTCCATCTTTTGTGAATTTTGCAGTCTAGCGATATCACTTTCACTTGAAAATTGAATACCATTGGACCCATCAGTTCGATTCTCATGTATGACTGGTTTGATATCAAATTGATACAGTTGGCTCGTTATGCGTGCCAGAAGATACTAAAAGTTGTGAATGTAGTAGAAAAAGGATTACCTTTGAGATATGCAAGTGTTGCTGTTGGATTTCTAGTGGAAATTTCAGGGCCAGTGATAAGAGCTGGGCAGATGGTGGCCAACTTCACCCCCTTTTCCTCAGCTATTTTCCATGCAGCTTTCTCTGCCCTCAGCTTCCCCAGGGCATACCAAAGCTGCCATTCCCCATAAGAAATTTTAAACGCTAACAATAGTAAACGAACTGTTATTGGCACTCCAAAACTACAGTCATCCTATACTCTTTCCGTGCTCAATTTGCTCGTCACGGACGGGTGCATGATGACAGTTTTGGATTTGCTCGAGTGCATGATGACGTTTTTGGAGTAAGATGAACATGATACCTTTTTGTCAATGCAGAGTGACTCAGTGCTCCAGGAGTCATGGTTCATTACAGGGGAGAGGTCGTTGCGGGTGCTGTCTTGCCATACGCAGGCTAGAAGTGAAGAAGTGAGGACACATTTTCTCACAGATGGTGTCACTGCACATGCCTTCATCACGTTCTCACTCGCCTTCACTTCTATCTCAGCCATGGATTTCTAAACACATCATTCCAATCCAAGGTTCATTCGCAATTTAAATGTCAGAAATAAATAGAGCTGTGCACGAGGGGAAAAATTAAGGGGATATACGAAATCATGCAGTTTTACTTTTTTAAGTCGTGATAAAGAGATAAACACATGATTATATACAATTACTTATGTACAAGAAGAGGTTGGTAGAATTAACTTTAGTTGGATGAGTTCAAGCAGTTTTGATAAAAAGTATGTATTCAATAAGAAAATCAAAATGTTTTCCGCACACTTTGTTTATTCTCCTCCAGACCTTCTTCGGATTGGCTGAATCAAAGCACAATCGAAGGACATAAATAAAATAAAGTATCTAAGTATCACAATAAAACAGGTACATGCAAAGGGAGTAAAAGATCTGCGAAAATCACTTGCAATTTAGTGCTCACACGACAACATAGGGCAACTAGACACAACAGATTTGACGGCATTTTTGCTCACCACCCTCAAGTGGTAATATTGCTCACCGCCCTACTTATTACCATTTGATGAGTTTAAATTTTGAGATCTTGTATCTATCCACTACTCATATTTCGAAATTTACACCATCCAATAACGATAAATAGGATGGTGAACATCAACATCACTTGAGTGTGTTGAGCAAAAATATGCCCCGATAAACTTGGACCACATGGATGCAAGTGCGGTGCTTTGTTTTTGTGTGTGAGGACGGTTGGATGCCGCGTAGACCAAATGTTCGAACCTAAGAATTTCTCCACAAAATTTTAAACTTGGACCACATGACCTACGTGACACCAAATAATGCAAGTGTGATGCTTTATTTTTGTGTGTGAGGAAGGTTCGATGCCGCGTAGACCAAATGATCGAACCTAAGAATTTCTCCATAAGATTTTCCTTCAAGTTTAAGAAGAGTATAGAAATGAAATGGGTTAAGTGACTCACAGTGTAGCCAGAGAGGCCAGCGGGGTCGACAAATGCAGAGGTGTGGAAAACGCCACGACAGCCATCGAATGCATGGGACAAGCTTTCAACATCGTCGTCGTCGGTTAGCTTCGCCATAACTGCAGAAATGCGGTCATCGGTGCTACCGCCTGTCCTCATCTCCCTCAATTTTTCTACATCTTCTGTATTATTTAATCGGGGGGACACGACAACCCATTAATTCTGGATGTAGTAAACCAAATTCCACACGACATTTTCTTTATATTTAAAATCTTGTTCTCTTGCAATAATACATATGGATACAAGTTTTGTTTGAAAGTATTTTAAAATGAATAAAAACACTTTTGAAATCAACCTTTAATAAAAATGCAAGTGAATTTTGAAAAACGTTTTTCTGTGAGTAGAGCATAACGAATGCATCTTGCAGAGTACTTTTGAAACTCAAAAATACTTTTATATAAAAACGTTTTCTGTCATTTTAAAAGTACTTCCAAGTAATTATAATATTCACACTATGCTAATCAAATTGTTTGAACTTTTAGATTCCATAAATTGGAAATCCAAGTTCTCATCAAATTATTTGATGATGTATTTCAATGATAAAAAAACAGCAGAACAATTTAAAAGTACTTAGAAATCATAAAAACTTCTCTGGCGTTTTAATGGAGAGGTGATTGTTCTTCAAGATGAACTTTCAAGCGCTTTCGAATTTTAATCGAAATTGGAATTTGGACCAAGAAGGCATTAATCAACGATGATTAGTAGATAAACACTTACCTTGGTTGTCAACGACGAGGCGGACGGAGTAGCCACGGCGGAGGAGACGATCGACGAGGGCAAGTCCTAAGAAAGAAACGCCGCTAGTGACACACACCAACATGTCTTCTTCATCGTCACCCCTCAAGTCGAAACGCTTGTTGTTGGGCTGCTGGCGGCCGTCTTTTCTGCGGTGGAGGCCGGCGGAAGCCATCAGCATACGGCAGAACTCCTGCAATTCGATGTTCTCCCTCTCTTCCAAACCCACAATCCCCATTCCGTCGATGTTTTGGAGACACAAAAATGGCACAGAGATGGAGTTGGGAAGCTTACTTTTCTCTCGGACACAGGTGGAGTGAGAACATTAGCGAGAAGAAGATATTAGTCTATGTGAATCATTGGCATTTGGAAGTCATGCAAAGCTTACTTTTCATTATCACCCCAGCAGCCGCCTACCTAGCTAGCTCAGCTAAAGCTAAGGCTTGGCTTGTGCCGCTTGGTTTATAAAAGTTTATAGTGCTGTTCATTTCAACAAAAAATTATATTTTTACGCTAAAAAATCGATCTTGTACTATTAATTTTACTTTTTATTTTGTCCTTATCGTCAAAACTCAAAATTTTCAAGTTATTTTCATTAATTTTCTGTTTATTTTGTTTGCCTAATTTTGTCCTATTTTTAGTGAGGCGAATTTTGTCACAGATGCAATTATAAACGTAAAATGTACTGTATAAGAATATCAAGTTTAGCTCTATCATCCTTCGATGAATGGCAAATTCAGGTTAGCGATTGGACTCACTTTCCATCAGTGGCCTTTGGCGAGAAATCTAAACCATAAAAAATTGAATAAATATCATGTTTCTTGCAGCTTATAGCTTACGAAGGATTATAGTTAGTCGGTTACTTAATAATCTACACACACAAAAATCAAATAATTTGATATGGTATAAAATTATGAATCTTTTAGATTTTTAGCTGGAAATTAACCCAATTTATTTTAATTAGACAAAGATATTGCCTTTTGTTAAATTTTCAATGTTTCAAATTCAATAATTTGCATATACTAAGTTGTGATAAATGATATATACAATACAACTAGCACTCGAAGAAATGGTATCACTAACTGATATAACACATACGCAATTTACTACAACAAGTACGAATATAAAATGCATTTTTTTTTAAGGAAAACTAATGAAAAATTTTGAAAACTTTAAGTTTTAACAATAAGAACAAAATAAAGAGTAAAGTAAATAGTACTAGGATTGACTATTTAGTGTAAAAATATGATTTTTCGTTAAAATGAACAGTACCAAGAGCTTTACGTTAAAATTCGCTTTTTTTTTAATTATAAACAAAATATTTTCACATTCATTTTTTTCTTATAATTTTTTTTCAGTGCTCAAATCTCTTTTAATTTAACACAATTTACCTATTAAAAATAAATAAATAATTTCTCCTTGCAAAGAAAAACAAATATTAAATAAATATTTATCCCAAATTGGGCTTTGGGTTTGGCTAAACGTTGAAGATGTGTCGGTAGCTAAAGCCGGTCCCTTACGTGTTGAATGATCAGTGAGCACGTGGACCATCTACCCACGCACAACCCACACCCCCCCCCCCCCTCCTCTCCCGGTCTTTCGTTCCCTCCACGCATATTGTCCGCCGCGAAACGAGAGTTTAAAATATCGGTCGGTGAAAATATCAATACACAATTTTATGTATATCTCGATAAATATATCAAAATCTATTATCTTCGATGAAATAATGAAAACTGTTACAAATGAAACTTTAGAGAGTGTTAAATGACAATTTATCAATATTTAACCAGTATATTAGAAATAACGACGAAATTTGTCCATTTGAGCCGAAATTGAAGAATTTTTCTGGCATGGAATGAAATTTAAACTTCACTCTTGCTTTTTGTATTTTTCTCTAGAATTTTCGGTTCGACTGCATCAAATATATTTTACACACAGATGCTAACTCGCTAACTAACACGATATGTGACCAAATTCATAATGTAATTAATATTGTAATAATCTCCTAATTATGTTTTATATCAAGTTTAATGATAAAGGTAATTAATCTTGGAATGAGGATCCTCTTTGTAAGGATCATGGGAATCCTCTAATCACATATGTTCATCGTATATTATGTAGTCAGTTTTCGTCAGGTACTGTTTATATTTAATATAAATAAAAAGATTTACAATGATTTTTGACCGAATAATATACGATAAACTGATGTGATTGGAGGATTCCGGGATCCTTACAAAGAGGATCCAGAGAGGATCTTATTCTTAATCTTGTACAAGTGTGGCCCACATTCACAAGCCACAACTCTTGGGACAAAATCTAGTATTGGGCCTTGTAAATTTAGGCCCAATTGTTTATTCTCCTAACTAACACAAAAATAAAAATAAAAATAAAATAAAATAGAAAAGGAAAGGAAAATTTTACAGCAGTCTAATCGCGTCTGCTGTAAGTCGTAATCGTATTGAAGAAGAAGAAGAAGAAGAAGAAGAAGCAGCAGCAGCAGCTATGGGCAGCTTCCCCGTTGCCCACAAGAAATTTTCCTTGGAAATTAAGGTATTTGGTTCTCAGTAATACGATGTGATTAGTTTTTTATTGGGTTTTTTTCTTGTGTTTTTGTTGCTCACCAACTGTTTGCTTAAATGCCTCTTCCAATATTGCTTCTGCAGTTCTGATTACATATGTATTAGGGTTTTGTAATTTGAGTTTAAATGTTATGGTGGTTTCTGTTGGCAGGGGAACAAGACGGATGTAGTGATGTGCAGTTATGATGATCATTTTCTTGTGAGTTTTGGGTTCAAATGTTTTTGTTTGAATTGGGGCTGCAATGTATTTGTATCAAATTCTAATGTTTGGAACATTTGTCAGGTTATTGCAACTCAAATTGGAGCTATGGGCACCATATTGCAAGCCAGGTCTGCATATCTGTTGTCTTCGTTTATGGGTCCAAAACTTTGTTTTTTTGATCCGACGATATATGAGACATAGGATCAGGGAAAAAGGGGTAGAGGAAGACCTAGGAAGACTGTGAAACTGACTTTAAGAAAAGACATGGAGTACTTTGAGCTAACGGAAGAGTTGATGCAAAACCGAGCGTAGTGGCGTTCTAGGATTCATGCAGCCAACCCACTTAGTGGGATAAGGCTTTGTTGTTGTTTATACGACGATATATATTCTAAACTACTCTTATTATACGACGATATATATTCTAAACTACTGTTATCAACGGGGAGGGAGATTGAAAATTGGGTGCAAGTAGGCAAGCACATTGTCGTGACCAATTGGCAGAAACCACATCTGCTTTGGGTCCAAATCTTTGGTTATTGATACAGAATTTTGGATCCAAATAGTGTTGCTGTCATTGATCTTTTTTATGCCTTTTGATAGCTCAAAGTTACTATATGCTTATTTATCCATTGGGGGTTTCATAAGTGAATTAAATTTAGGAATTAAGGGAAGAAAAAAGTGAATTAAATTTACGATTGAGGAGCTTATGTGGTGTTTTTTATTTTCATTATCAGGAAGGAGGAAGGGATGGCAATCCATCCAACATTCAACGTGTCTGTAATCTTCGGCAAGCGAGACGAGGTAAGCTATCCAGGGCAGTATAAGCCTGTAAGTTTTGTGTCCCTTGCTGACTAAAGTTTGTGCTCATTTGCGTGTCTTGCAACATCTGCAGCCAATGCTAGTGTCATGTGCTCGTCAACTTATTGAACACATCAGGTACATATCACCATTGATAGACGGTAACTTTTTTACTATACTGTTTCATCTCCTCCTAATTTAGTGACAGTTACTGATCCTGTAAAAAAATTCGGTGAAGACTGTCGAGGTTAACTTACAAAAGGTTAGCTAAACTGTAATGTCTAATGCAGTAGGTTGTTTTTGCAGTAACTCAGGCTCCTTGAAGCCGTTAATGCTTTCTCTAGGTCTCAAAGATCATTCAGCGGTACTAATCATCGATTGTCTTACGATGCTTTTTGGCCAATATGCTGTTAGAAGTTGTAACATTCCAATTGTGTATTGCAGGAGACACTGAAAGGCATTGTTTCAGCTGTTATCGAGAATCGCTTCTGGTGATGGTGTGCTGCCATTAAAAGTTCCTCAATCTGCACTAACATTCCATCCGGGGTTCAACTAAAGCGTCATGGCGTCGGAATCATTCAGCTATCTACAAATAGGGTTGGTCGTTAAGTTGAATTACGTATTTTTACAATCCGTTGTGGTGTTTCGTAATCCAAATTGAATTGTGCTGTGAAATTGAGCTCATTTCAATCCGATTGAGACCAGTTTTTATCGATTTTAAACTTATCTGACTCGGAAAATGGTAAACCCGCTTCCAAATGTCTTCTAATATTTTCCTTAACGCGCAACAAGGCTCGCTCGAGGAAACGACTATGAAATTAGGAGAAAACGAAGAAGGGAAATTGAACCAACATAAATTATAATTACATCATCAGTACGATAAATTACAGGTTACACAACGGGATTCAAAGCACTCGCATTCTCAAAATTTGAACGTCCGCACTAATACACATTGACACATATTGTACACTAGAATACAACACTAAAAAATTTGCTCCTGCGATTCAACAGTAACGTGCAGACACCACGTACCATCAAAGCTCCGAGAAAACCGCCCACCGGTGTCCACAACACCGCCGCCATGCTTCATCTTCTTTCTGCAGCAATTTCTGTTTTCCGGCCAAAACATTTATTTGACAGGCAGCGGTGGACTCTGGACACGACATTGCCATCACGCATCATTTCCATATCTAACATTTTCATCTTTGTTGGGCATAGCTTTCAATTGCTTTCTAACTGCAAATGAGAGAGATGACACCCTCTGATTACTTACAAGAACCGTTTGAAAACATCTCTTTTCTCGGCATAATACGAAAACTCTAACAAAAGCGTTTGAGATAGACACGAACCTGGGCATTTTTCAGCTTCTGTCTTTGCAATTGTTCGACAAGATTCCCAACACTGACATTACAGACAGAATATAAGTCGAATGTCTATATGCAGATCAACACCATCAAAAAGTATTTAATTACTCGAATACCTCTGTTGCAGATTAATGACGATAGACTGCAATTCTCTCTCCCGAGCCGAAGTTGGAGGTATCTGCATCAATGCCGTAAAGCATCGTCAAGCTCTAGTTCAAGGTTACAGTCCATTAAACAATATATGCAGTAAATGAACCCAGCCTTTACCTGCAAAAGGTCACTGGTGCTTTCATCAGCGGACTCCCCTTGTATTCCTGCGTGAAGCTAAAAGTATTAAACCCAACAAAAATTTGCAGACAAAGCTAAAGGCCAAAAATGTGAGATAAAATGTGGGGAAGTTACCTGAGGTCTGTTCCACGTATTTGATCAATTTAACTATTTCGTCCTGTCGCATGAAGAAAGAAAGTTTGAGCCATAATACCTCTAAAAAATGGTGTTAGCGATGAAAACTGGCACATACTCTTTGCAAGGTGTTTTGCTGCAGAATGCATTGTAGTGATGGGAGAATAGTGGTAGCTGTAAGGGGTGCGGTTGCTGGACCGGTTGAACTTCCAGAAGGACTAAACAAGCAGTTTGAAGGACCCTGGAAAAGAGATAGAAACGGTAATGGTTATTAACGCCTGAAAGATATCCCGCTAAGTTGCACCCCTTTATGAAGTTAAACATCATAAACATGCAAATTAGACATAAAAACCGGACGAGTACTGAGCACAAATCTGATGGGAAAACTGAAACCAGTAGGTATCTCAAATAAGAAGCAATGCAATTCTATTGTTGAGAACCAAACTTCGGATAAATAACCATTAACACTCCAGAATATATCGGTTATAAAATATCCGTACCTTGGGACTGAGTTCTGCAGAAGTAACCTTGAAGCGCCCCTTACGTTGGACAACTGCTCCTTCAGAAACATCCTCAGCTGCATAAACAGATGCACAAATGATAGAAGGTTTTTAAAGAGCACAAACAGGTGGAAGAAATCAGACATAAAGAATAAATGATGAGCACACAGAACTAGAAGAGACGAACCAGAAGCATGGCTAATGGCGTCTCTCTTCTGGCGATGCAACAATGGACCACTGAAGTTCCTCATAGGTTTTGCTTGCAGATGATCCCTTCAAAACATATACAATATTTTCAACTCATAGGTAATAGAACCAAACTTTTGCACACAATTGCACAAAAAATACAATGATTGTCGGATGAGGATATCAAAAGAATCATACTGTAAGAGAATAAGACAATGATGGCAATGAGGATGTTAATACACTGAAGTCTATTACCATCAAAACCATATTCGTTACAGTTTCGTGAACTTTCGTTGGGCAAGGCTCTAGGTGACAACCATGATGATCATGACAATTTCGACTCTGAAGAAATTTAATGACAATTTAGTTCAACAAAGGATGGTTCGTTCCTCAGTACTATACATATACAACAAATGATATTATCAGATGACACTTTAAACGCGCAAAATCTAAATTACAGTGTAGTTCCAACAAAGGATGACTCATAACAATGCTCTACTAGGCAACAAGAATGTGGATTGTGCAATTTTTGTGAGGAGCTCCAAGGAGCTATTATACTAAGTCAACAAGCAATTACATAGGGAATTCAAGGAGGGTTTTATTCAGCCAGGGTTAATGAGCATGCAAACAATGCTTGATGCAGGAAAGTGAAAGGGGGGATGCTCATTTTCTTCTGGTTGAGAAAAGGGGAAAACCAATAGAGCATTTTACCGATGATGTTAGAAAAAAGCACATTAAAAAACCCAATAAACTTCATCATAAGAACGCTTACCTCTCACCGTCACCAATAACCTTTTTGGGAGAAAGCACACTATCCGGTAACAGTGAACCACTCAAAAAATTTTGAGGCTCAGGATTAACATGACGTGGTAAAGAACTACATTGCCCTGAAGTCTCACCTTCACTTCTCCCATTTTCTTGAGCAATGTTTGTAGGACTAGATGCACTCACATCATCCTCACAAACATCAAAACAGCCTCTGCATCAGAAAACACCTTGAAAGTAAGATAAAGGAATAAAACAAATTACATTTTAAAAACCAAGCAAACATCAATAAATAAAAATATAAATATAAAGTCAAATCAAGATATAAGGTTATACAGAAAGGAATAATTACAATCCAATGAAATTAAATTGCTAAAGTTTTTTACTCGAAATAAAAACACAAAACATTTCAATAATTTTGGGAAAATCCATAAAGAAAGTTATTACTAGGATGCTGCATAAAATGGATAAAATGCAATAACATGCAGAAAACAGTTAAAGATATTGAATAATAATAATTTGGTAGACTGCATTACAGAATCTGTTTGCTGACAAAATCAGGTAACGTGATAAAGCTGAAGTTATAAATATGAGTGGATAATACGATTCCAGAAAAGGAAAGCATTCATACTTAAGTGCTTGAAGAGGTTTGATAGGAAATGAAGCCAGTGAGCTGTCCAAATCATGCAGATCGTGGAAGCCATCCTATATAGGCAGACGCCGAATGCATAAAATAATTAGAACTTCAAAACATATGAGACAAGGGAGATGAATTTAAAGGGGCAGTTCATATACCTCCTGATCAGGCACAGCATTTGATTGGATTTCCATCTCAATGGCTTCCCTCTCTGCTGGAAAACTAACATCTTCATGCTTGTCATTTTGCTTCGTACATGTTGCATTGTGCATGTCATCCTCCTCAATCTGCAGGCAACCGTGTGTCAGTAAAAATGTAAATTAACAATATAAATGATTGATAATGATAAAATGCAAATGTCGCGCATGAATCAAACCAACTGTTAGTTATACATAGGCTAGAAATTGATTTACTTACAAGGGCAGCCTGATTTTTTAAATCCTCAAGGTTGAAATTCCAGGCACTGATTCCTCGGATATAAACTTGCTGCAAGTGAGAACATATATTCAGGATGATGTTGATAATTGGGTACCCGAAATCCAGGAATTAGCTTCTTAAATATTAAGGAGGAAAGTTTGATTACACAGTCTAGTATAGCGCATGCACATACAGACATGTTCAAAAAGTGCTAAAGACCAGAATGTGGATAGAAAAGAAAGAAGTGAAGGTCGAAAGAAACTTAAATGCTGATGCCTAAAGACCAATCAAGACAACAACTAAACACCCAACTATTTTTATTGAACTTCGAACAACTCTCACCTGTGATAAATGTTCATCCCCATAGAGAGCCTTATTCTGCACAAGAAGATCGGCTTCTTTTGCCTAAAACATAACCAAAAAAACACCACGTCAAAATGTGGTTGAAATCTGCCACGTATTGTAACTGAATAATAAAGTACAGAAGAGAATCTGGGAGTAGTAAGAGACCTTCAGCATCCTGAAACGTTCACCTAATGGAGCAAGACACTCAAGGATGGTACGAGACAGATATTCAACAGGTCGTGCATGTTTGAAAAAATGGTGCTTCAAAAGTTTCTCTGAAGATGGACGCTTCTTTGGATCCTTCACTAAGCAAGCACCTACCATCTCTTTGAAAGACTGGAAAATGTAGCACTTTCATGAATTAAATTTGAGAATGGGAGATGTGAGTTTAACCTAGCCAACACAAACCTTTGAAAATCTCTTGTCTCTTTCATAGTCAAGGCCTGGGGGTGCATTTTGTAAAGTCATCAGCAAAACCTGCAACAAGGGGGAAAAGAGTGGAGAAAATTTGTAATTCACACAGTAAGCACCAGTGAAGCACTTCTACCAGGACGAGCTCATATAAATATAAAAATTGAAGAAAATTACTTTCATCGGTGGATATTTGGAAAATGGGGCGTGACCGTGAGCAAGCTCAAGCGCTGTTATTCCAAATGACCAGATGTCTGCTCTGTAAATGGAGAAACAGGTAAAAATACAACATAAGAAACTTCAAGTTTTCAACCAAACATAAGGCTGCAGAGAAACAAAGCATACAAAAAGAACAAAGAAATTGGCTAGGTAACCCACTCACTTGAAGTCATATCCATGTAATTGCTGCATAACTTCAGGAGCCATCCTGACGAGAAAGAGACAAAAGCAGAGTATTTTTATATAAAAGCTCAAACGCCTTAAGCCAATCAAAAATGGGAAAACGACCTTTGATATTACATCATCCTATAGGATGAAGGAGATGCTTAAAAAGGAAGTACCAGCATGGAGTTCCAACAAACGTATTTCTGGAACGTTGTCTATCTCCAGCATCAAACATGCATGCAGACACTCCAAAGTCTGCTAACTTGACTGCACCGTTAGAGTCAATTAAAATATTCCCAGCCTGAAAATGAAGGTTAAGAACATAAATAAGAATACCAGTCATCATCCTTCAACACGAACATGTATGGATAAAAGTATGATCAGAAATTTGACGCGCAAGCTTGTCATATACCCAGGAGCAATGTATTAAAAGGCAAAGGCATCCATGGATAGCCCCACCTAGGTGTGAGGCATGAGGAGAAGCCTCATGAGACTTAATTTTTATACTATATATTATATATTATATATATGTATATATTATAATACTTTGTAAAACAAATATTCATTGTCATTCAAAAGTGCACAAGTTATAAACAAGTATAACTCACATGTACAGAGTTTTGAATAGTGATACAAACATGACATCATTAAGCGCAGAATTAATCTATGCACAAAAACTAAAAATAAAAAATTCTCATGCATGAAAAGTAACTCTCCTCAGAAAATATTGGTTCCAAGGATGCTGGTTTTCTACAAATTGTAGCCAATATCATCACACTGTTTTGTAATGAAGACATCAATAACAAAATCACCTGCCCTAAATGAAGTATACAAAAAATTATTGGTATTTTATAAGATAGTCGATTATGGTACCTTCACATCTCTATGGATGAGGCCATGAGCATGAAGATACACAAGAGCTTTGAGAACTTCGTGCAATAAAGTTGCAATAACAGGCTCTTCAAACCCTTCAGGATAAGAAGATTTCATTATATGCAGGCAGGACCCCCCAGCCATGTATGGCATCACGACCCAAAGGCTGTGGCCAGAAGTGAACGAACAATGTGCTCGTAATAAATTTTGGTGATTAATCAAAGTCATTGTATGTACCTCCCGTCGGATACCATCCTGCAAAATTTGACAAGAAAGTTAGAATCGTAGATGATACTTCAACATTCCCTACTGAAGCCATGATGCAATGAGATTGATGCATAAGTTCAATTAGTCCATACATGTTAGACATAGAACTCAAGTGAACAAGATAAGGCAAATATAAACGTCACTTAGAAACAAACAAGTTGAAACTATAAATCAAATAAGCATAAAAATTGTGAGCTGCAAAAGAGAGTAAACCACATACCAGGTCGTTGTTACATTTTTCAAGATCAAGAACCTTGATAGCAACTATCTCATTAAGTGGTATACAGAGTGCCCTGTACACAGAAGCGCTGACACCTTCACCAACTTCTTCGTATAATTTATATTCTTTTGCATCCAAAGGAAATCGTTTCTCTGATTCATACTCCATGGCTTCTTCTTATATCACACTATTAAAATACTCTTTATTTCTTGATATCCCGACGAACAACAATAAAGTGTACCCCAAAGAGATAAGCATCAAATCAGTACGGGGTTTCCAATTCGATAGCATTTTCCCCTTCTTCAACACAAAATTGCAGATACATCCAGTAACTCCATTGAGATATTTTTCTCGCCATATGTTTCCATTTACAGCCTAATTAATTTCAGGAACTCATAAAAGAACACTAACTAATTACAGAATATTGACATCTCCAATAGGCAACACTATGATTTCATCCACTACCAAAAGATTATTGATAAAACTCGTCGAACCAGTACGTAGCACCATACAGTTGGAGACCATACAAGAAAAGGAAAGTATCAATCTCAAGCTCTCACAAGACCACCTTGAATGTTTGTCCTATGACGTGCATCCGAATGGCGATGATTGACATCTTAGGAAAACATATGAACAGAAATCCTACAAAATCAAAGAGAGCCTTAGCGCAAGATGGAAAACACGGAATGAATACTTCAGTGACCCAAGTATATCAAACACATACCAATGAGATTGATTCGTAACAAATTCCAATAAATAAAATTTAACCCAACAATGGTTATACGAACACCAAACAAAATCCAAACACAAATCATAGTTCGGTAATCAGTGACCAAATTCTGAGATCCCAAAGTAACCAACTTCGTTGGAAAGTAAGAATCCACTAAAAATTGTATCCGAAAAACTCACAATCTTACGAAATATCTTGTTTGATCAGTTTCCAAACAATCCTCACTCCCAGAAAAGCAAAGACACAATCACCCTAGTTCAACTTTCTGTAAATTCATGCTTCTCTTCAACAATTTACTCATAATCTAAAAAATATAAAACTTATTTGCAATACAAGTTAGATAAGAATTGCGTTGCTGCAATCTACCATTCCAAATTTCCACATTTTCTTAATCAAATTCCAAAAATGCCAAAGCACCTGAAATCATCCAAACCAAAACCCCAGTCGCCCATTTGCCAACCCCACCAATCTAAAGCATCAGATTCTCATCACAAACGTTAAGAAATCAAATAAACTAACCAAAAACAAACAAAAATAAAAACTTTTAATTGCTGCTAGATAAGAATTGCGTTGCTGCAATACACCATTCCAAATTTCCACATTTTCTTAATCAAATTCCAAAAATGCCAAACCATCTGAAATCATCCAAAACAAAACCCCAGTCGCCCATTTGCCAACCCCACCAATCTAAAGCATCAGATTCTCATCACAAACGTTAAGAAATCAAATAAACTAACCAAAAACAAAACAAAAATAAAAACTTTTAATAGCTGCTGACTAAAGTCATAAGCTTGATCAGAAAAGTCAGCTAAAATTCAACAGCTTTAAGAGGGCTGACACTAACCAGCGACAGTACCGAGTGCGTCGGACCAATTCCGTACCAGAAGGTGCACAACTGAATCCGAGTTTTGCTTCTGACAGATTCAGACAGAAATGGGAGAACCCTCTTCTGCCCCTATCCCGATAAAAACGACGTCGATTCAGCTCGATTTGCTCGTCGATTCAAATTCCCCGATTGTCTCTCCGCTTCTATCTCCTCCCCTTCGCTCTATATCCTACTGTCGCTGAGACTTAGGTCCTTAGATCGAATCTTTCACCGCCTTTCCTACTGCCAACTTTAACGAAAAGTTATTTCTACAGTTTATTTTTTAAAAATCACATATTCACATTAAAATATCAATTTTAATACTATTTTTTTACCTTTTATTTTCTTATTATTGTTAAAACTTAAATTTTTTAAATTTTTTTCATTAGTTTTTTTTTTTTTTTTGGGTTTTGTTTTCTAAAAATTTAGATACATAATACAACAAGATAAATAAAAGATGCCCTTTCTTGTGCCTTCAGTTTTGGTCTTATTGGGATTGACAATCGGATCGTGTTTATCGTGCTTGTATTGTTTTTGTGTCATATTTATTATCTTAACAAGTTGTATTATGTCAAACTCATTATTTTAACGGATTTTTAACAAATGACCTTATAACTACCTGATTCATTAACGGTTGTGTCGACTTATATTGAATTAAATTGTCGTGCAAGAAATTATCATACCTAATGTCTATATTTGCAGACGATATCTCATCGGTTTCTTAACGAGATGACTCGATAACATGAATTATTAATAGTTTAACATGAAAACTATTATTTTGTGTGAGTCAACTAATCAAGCAATAAATTAGTAAGATCTTCAAATTTCTCGTAAAGAGGATCCAGAAAGGATCCTGACAAAGGACCCTCTTGGTAAATGGGTAAGCTAAATCTCAGCCTCCCGGAATGATTAGGTGAGAAAAAATAAAACAATTTGTTATTTATTTGTGAGGAAAATTCAAATGAAATATATAATTTTGGTAGAATTATATTCTGTAAGTTTTCCACAGAGCAACCAACCGTGATTGCACAGCGAGGTGGGGCCCGGCGATGAGATTTTAATTGGACTTGGTCAATGAATCGGGGATGTTGCAATGCAGGGGATTCGAATCCGTGATTTTTGGATTTAGAACGGATCATTTACTATCTTGGGCTTGGGCTATGTTGTTCTCCACACACATATGATAGCGGGTTGGGCCTTTAGCGCATTTAAACGTACTTTGCCACCCATACGTATTAAGATGGGCTTGAAGTCGTCTTACTAAAATGGGCTTGGCATTTCGGTTGAGCTTTTTTTTTTTTTTATGGAAATAATGATATTTTGTTTTATGAAATATTATGGCTAAATCACACGATGAGTCACAATAACAATAAGTTATCGAATAAATAATTTATGCAGTTCGAACTTAAAATTTTTCATTTACAAATGGAGAAAATGAAAAGACTATTACCAGATTGTAGTGTTATCACCTTTAGTTAGTTGTCTGAAGAAAGTCGAGATTCTGACATAAAATCAATTAATAATATGTCAAATAATAGTAACTCTACTATACATAAGCACATACAAGCTACCATTTTTCCATTTTGAGATAAAAAAGAACATACTCAAGATTCAATAGCTTTACTATTTGTACAATACAGACCACCATTTTATTACGACGTATTTTCTTGGAGCACATTGAATTCACTTCTAACAATGTTGATAGTCAAGGACTAGTTGTGAGGGATTACTTTAGTCATGTCAATAGCATTATAATCGTGGTTGGTTATTTTGGTCATGTCAAAAGCAGTCTAATCGTGTCATAAAACTTTGTTATTTGCGATTAGAGCTAACACATCAGTATTTTGACACGTGTATGTGTTTTTGTATTTAGCAATGATTAAGATGTGCAATTAATTTAGGGTTGTTGAAGAGAATGGCCCAACATAAAAATTCTACATACTATATGAAGTGAATCTGCACAAGTAAAGCGCGCAATTGGCAATGGCCGCATGATGCGGATATCATATTTTTCGCAGAATAATATTTGACTATTTAAAGATGAATAAGAATTTCTACTTAAAATTTCTCAAAATTAATCGTTTTCAATGTATAGAATTTCGTGTTTATAATCAGAACTGTTTATATTATAAATCACCCTATAATGATGGCCTATGCAAAAAATCAATTAAAATTAAGGTCGTTTAGTCATTAAACTAATTAAAAACAAATTAACGGTATTGGTAAAAACATTACGAACCGTCTAGTATTTACTACAATAGATTAACTAAACGACTTTAATTTTAATTTATTTTTTTGCAGAGATGATATTTGCAGTGTGATTCATAGTATGAACCGTTTTAATCATAAGTACAAAGCTCTATGATTAAAACGCTAAGAGTTTTGAGTAAGAATTCTTAGTCATATTTGAGTAGCTAAATATTATTCATTTCCGCACTTATTATGTGTGTAATGTTTTTGTGGTCTTAATCATGCTCGACGTGTATTAAATTTATAAATAAAAATTACAAAAAAAATTAATTTTTTAATACGTATTAATCAATAATACAAGCCACAAAAATGTTGCAAATAAAATAGGCAGCAAATTTGAACAAGATGATGTGCAATTGTGCATGGCTCGTGATACATCATCATCAACAATTCCACGAAATGGTGGGAGGTGGGGCCCGCAACAAGGACATGAAATGGAGCCCCATCGTAATGGCACGTGGCACAGTGCGTGCGTCCCAATTTTACCCTATAATTTATGCGTCTTACCTCCTAAGCATGGGACTCTTTTTGTCGGCCGGATGAGAACTCCCTAGGGTCTACTACACACAAAGTGACTCCACAACTGTTATTTGCTTGAAGAAACTTAAAATTTAAGTTAACTATCACAAGATAGTTTCGTGGTAGGGGATGAATTATAGGTTTTTAGTTTACACGATATGTCTTGAATTTAATTTCTAGATTTTGTAAATAACACAATGATGGTATGGAAGAGGCTCCAATAACTAAATCTTTTTGACCCTAAAAAGAAAAGACTGTGTGATCAAGCCACTAGCTGATCTTTTTTTTTTTTTTTTTTTTTTTAACTTGAAATTTAGTTAAGTCAGATTTTAATTAACCACCATATGTGTTTTGCATTTGAGTTTTGTAATTAATTATTATCAGAAGACAAGAGTTTACAACTCGCCAAATGCTCCATTCGGCCGAAGTTTCAATCGATCATCTTTTTCATCAGCTTCATTTGGATTGTGCATGCGATACGACATTTAGGGTATAGATTATAATAGCGGAGAGTAACGCTATCAAAACAGCTTGTGGCATTGTCCGCAAAGAAAATACAATAGTACATGAGTTTTTTGGCCTTTCGTGAAAATATTGATGGACGACGTGTTTCCTACAAAAGCAATCTCGAACCGACCTTGACGAAGGAGTCTATATCATCACTAAAAGACTATATAAACAGAGGGTACATTGATTTCCACGTACTCATCCTAAAGGATTGTACAAGTTTGGTCCTTATTTTTGAGTTAATTTTTGTGTGTGTTGATGTGTAGCGTACTTCATGTTACCGAAAGCTGCTTTAGAAGCTAGAAGACAAAGGTGATGACTAGGCATGGTTCTTACTTTTGTTTGACCACAAACTACCACGGAAGGAGGAGAAACGGAAATTTGTGTTAAAACTTTAAATTTTGTGTCGCATGCAGTGGTCCTGAAGGAATGGAGGTGATGATTACGCATGGTTCTAACTTTAGTTTGACCACAAACTACCACGGAAGGAGACACGGAAATCTGTGTCAAAACTTTAAATTTTATGTCGCATGCAGTGGTCCTGAAGGAACGGAGGTGATGACTAGACACGGTTCTAACTTTTGTTTGACCACAAACTACCACATAAGGAGACACGGAAATCTGTGTCAAAACTTTAAATTTTGTGTCGCATGTAGTGGTCCTGCAGGAACGGAGGTGATGATTAGGCACCGTTCTAACTTTTGTTTGACCACAAACTACCATCGAAGGAGGAGACACGGAAATCTGTGTCAAAACTTTAAATTCACATGCATTGGTCCTGAAGGAACGGAGTAACTTTCAAAAAGTAGAGAACAACACTAATTAAATGCACAAGTTAAATTTGCAAAACTAAAGAAGACGGTAAAGTTCACATCACTAAATTAAATATGATTTATGGACTAGTATTAGTACTGGTTACTGCTATTTCTGGTTACTTATGAGAAAGTGTTGAGAATAAATTTAACATTGTTGAATGTTACACTTTGTACGAGCTTTATATACAAGTCAATCTACTTTTTACATTGTCAATTAATTTTACTATAGCACCATAAATTTTTTTGTAGTATCATAGCAAATTCTCACAAGTGTGAAGTCCAACGACCACACGTGCTCTCACCCAATAAGTTTAACGTTAATTCTCATGCTAACATATAAAACATTGTACTTAAAACATGAGATGTTAGTGAGTCCAGAAAAATGTCACTTTGAGAAAGCATCATTAGCGTTTCTCATAATACAAACTTACTCTCTATACATATAAGGATAAACATGTTTAAGATTTAAGGTAATCAGAAGTGAAATAACTCAATAAAAATGATATCTACGTTGTAGTTAGAATTATATACATATGTAATTACATAAATTCCACACAGGCACGTTGAAATTCCTCGAGCTCTTCTCTTTCTTTTTTTTCTCTGCTCGATTTTCCTCTCGTTTCTCTCTCTAAATTCGTGGCACAACAACTTAACTCTTGTAATTTATCCTATTTAAAGAGAAGTGTTATCGACACTCTAAAAATCTCATTCTATACTCATCATAAGTGTATTTTTCTTTCTAAATATAGAAAATTTGGAATGTAGAAAGAGAAATTTGGAGTACCAATAACAATTTTCTTTTTAAATAATTATCAAATTTCCGATATAAACATACTAGGTTCTTCCTTAAAATTTATAAATGTAGTTTTTTTTACAAGCAGCGATAAATTGCCAACTCATTCACCGTCTCAAACAATGCAAGAATACACGTCGTGGTTGTAGAAGAAGCAAGAAGGTCGGACTCAAGAGTCAAGAGGGACGGGAAGGACTAAAACAAGCAGCAACACAATCAGCCACTTGTGTGGCAAAGATTGTGATTGATCTTCATGCAACCTTACGTCACCTTTCAATGTCCACAGGCTCATACTACATCCAAAACAAGCCCCAATAGGCATTAGGAGTCCCAATAATTACTTCTATTTATATCGCACCGGTACACCGTAATACAAACATTACTTAAATACAATTGACTATTTTACTTGAATTTTAAAGCATTTATTATTCACATATTATTAGTATATTCTGAATTTATATACAGTTAATTTTATTATTCATGAACTGATAATATCACGTGACGGTGGTGATCCACGAAAATGATTTCGTGAATCACGTCCTATTTTATCTACCAATATATATCCACTTTCTCTCTCTTTGTCCCACCTTGTTTTTGCTTATTAAAGCGGCAAAGCAAACTGCTACTCATACAAAGTTCACTTATTATCTCTCTCTCTCTCTCTCTCTCTAGATTTTGAGCTGAAAACGAAACCAGCAGCAACAAGCAAGAGATCTCCGCAGAGCCTGCAATGGAAGTAAGGAATTCTCTGAAACACAACTTCTAGGGTTTCCTCAAATTCCACCGACCTAGTTTTCGTAGCTGTATACACAAAGCTTGCCATTTTCGTTGATATTTAAATCAACCCTTTGTTCTTATTTATTTATTTATTTTTTACTATATTTTATACGAAACAAATAATCAGCATGGAGCTTAAAGATGCAAACTTTGTGCACCCGCTTTGTTGCTCTGGGTAAGCAAGGCATTCAATCAATGTTCTTATGTGTTGCTCAAGTTTCGATCTTTAAGCTCTACCTCCGGTGAGGTTTCGTGAATTTTGGGTAGATTTTTGTTAATTATCTGTTACTCCATTGGCGTAGATTGGTGCGGAATTTCGCTTTCGTTGGTGAAATCGTTTGCTTAATTTCGTCGAAACTTCGTGTTTTTGGAAGTTGGTGTGACTTGTTTTGTTGTTTGGTTGGTGATTTTCCCGGAAAGTGAAAGGGAAATGTGGGTAGGAATTTGAGTGAGGAGTGAGGAGTGAGGAGTGAGGAAAAGGAAAAATACCTCAATTTTGAGGTGGAAAACGCTGCTAAAATGACGGAAGGGCGGAGGAGGAGAGGGATACATTTTAGCAAACTGTATTCGTTTTCGTGTATTCGATCTCCTTTCGTTGATAGTCATCCCCAAATCGGGGAAAGAGGGTACTCGAGGGTGGTGCATTGTAATGAGCCGGATAGTCCGGAGGCGCTTCAGTTGAGATACGGGGGAAATTATGTTTCGACTACCAAGTATACGGCAGCGAATTTCATTCCCAAGTCTTTGTTTGAGCAGTTTAGGAGGGTTGCCAATATATATTTTCTTGTTGTAGCTTGTGTCTCGTTTAGTCCGTTGGCACCTTTTAAGGCTGTTAGTGTTCTTGCACCGTTGTTAGTGGTGATTGGAGCTACTATGGCTAAGGAAGCTGTTGAAGATTGGCGGCGAAGAAAACAGGTAAACGTTTCTGGATTATATAGATGTCGATGCGTTACACATTTTGCACTGTCGATTTTACATTTTTACTAGTCATTTGAAGCTACAGCTTAAGCTTATTTAGTCATGTTTGGATTAATATGTAAAATCTGGGGTATAGTTGGATTAGAATTGTGGTTCTCGATTAATCGGACAATGAACATATATGTAGTAATTTTTGTTGCCACAGTATATTAAGATTTTGCAACGGTTGAGATTGTACAGATTTCTCTTATTTATATGTGCTTACTTTCTATATCCAAAATTGGTGCAGCATGATTGGAAAGAGCAACATTATTAGGAAATATCTTCAAATTAATATATTGATGATTAATTATTTGTTTTTCCTAATTGGTTTGGCTATAAATTTGAAATTGTTTCAGGACATTGAGGCGAACAATCGAAAGGTTAGAGTTTATGGTAGGAATTATGCATTCTATGAGACCAGATGGAAGAAACTCCGGGTTGGTGATATTGTGAAGGTCCACAAGGATGAGTACTTTCCTGCTGATCTTCTGTTACTTTCGTCAAGCTATGAGGACGGAATTTGCTATGTTGAAACTATGAACCTTGACGGAGAAACTAATTTGAAATTGAAGCATGCATTGGAGGTGACATCTCATCTTCAGGATGAAAAATCCTTGGAAAGCTTTAAAGCGGTGATCAAGTGTGAGGACCCAAATGAAAATCTGTATTCATTTGTTGGGACTTTGTTCTATGATGGAAAGCCTTACCCGCTTTCCTTACAACAGATGCTCTTAAGAGACTCTAAGCTGAAAAACACTGAATATGTCTATGGTGTTGTTGTCTTTACTGGTCACGACACAAAAGTGATGCAGAATGCGACAGATCCTCCTTCAAAGAGAAGCAAAATCGAGAGGAAAATGGATAAGATAATCTACATTCTTTTCAGTACTCTTGTTGTGATAGCCTTTACTGGATCTGTCTTTTTTGGAATCAACACTAGACGAGATATAAGCGGTGGAAAAATGAGAAGGTGGTATCTTCGTCCAGATCATACAACTGTATTTTATGACCCCAAAAGAGCAGCACTTGCGGCTTTTTTCCATTTCTTGACTGCCCTTATGTTGTATGGATATTTAATACCAATATCTTTATATGTGTCGATTGAGATTGTGAAGGTATTACAGAGTATATTCATTAACCAAGATCGGGAAATGTATTACGAGGAAATGGATAGGCCAGCTCATGCACGCACATCTAATCTGAATGAGGAACTTGGTCAGGTTGATATGATACTTTCTGACAAAACAGGCACACTGACATGTAATTCCATGGAGTTCATTAAATGTTCGATAGCAGGCACTGCGTATGGCCATGGTATAACAGAAGTGGAGAGGGCACTGGCAAACAGAAGGGACGGAGTTGATACACTGCATGAAACTGGTAATGTATCATCTGATGTTTTAGATAGTGCTAGTTATAATGTTGACTCTGGAAAGTCAATAAAGGGTTTCAACTTTAGAGACGAGCGCATCATGAATGGGCAGTGGGTCAATGAAGCTCATTCAGATATCATACAGAAGTTTTTTCGGGTTTTAGCAATCTGTCATACAGCCATTCCAGTCGTTGATAAAGCATCAGGAGAAATAACCTACGAAGCAGAGTCACCAGATGAAGCAGCTTTTGTCATAGCTGCCAGGGAGCTTGGGTTTGAGTTTTTCGAAAGGACACAAACAAGCATATCATTGCATGAGTTGGATTTTGAAAGTGGGAGGAAGGTTGATAGGTGAGTTCCATTCATACTTTGACCTGTTTATTTTTATATAAAAGCTCCTTGTATTGTTTACGTGGCTGGGAAGCCATAACTTCTGACACATATTTAGCTAAATTAAGTACCCAATTATGGGCTGTTAGAACCCAGGTAAGACATTCCCACTTTGCATATTTAATTCTGAGTCTAGAAATAGATCAATGGCCCAGGATTAACTACTCACTACAGCCTCTGTGTTGTATAATACATATATGGCATGTGCCTACCTACACATCTGTTACAATTCAGTGACTTTAGTCTTAATATGACTAAATTTATTTATCCCAGGGAATACGAGCTTCTTCACGTCTTGGAGTTCAGCAGTTCTCGCAAAAGGATGTCAGTAATTGTAAGGAGTCCAGAAAATAAATTATTGCTCCTTTGCAAGGGTGCAGACAGGTTAGACTCTTGAGTGCTCATGCTTAAGGCTCACGTTTGAAGTTGCAAGTTGGGTTTTTAAAATTCCATGATTTTCATTTATCTGTACATATTCAGTGCGATTCTGGAAAGGCTTGCAAAAGATGGGCGGCAGTTTGAGGATCAGACCAAGGAGCACATTCATAAATATGCTGAAGCAGGTTTACGAACCTTGGTGATTGCATACCGCGAGCTTGGTGTAGAAGAATTTGAAATATGGGCGAAGGAGTTTGTGAAGGCTAAAGCTTCTGTAACTGAAGATAGAGATGTACTGGTGGACGGAGTTGCTGATAAGATTGAAAGGGACTTATTTCTGCTTGGTGTGACAGCTGTTGAAGACAAACTGCAAAAGGGGGTGAGTACTGAATTTTGATGGTATTTTTATTTTTTTTGGGTGAGTCCTTTCACCTGGATTAGATTATTGTTATTGTGTCCTCCCTTGAATTTGGAGCCCTGTACAACTTAACATTATGTGAATTGGAAGTTCATATCAAGAAACAAAAAACTAGTGCCCATTTTATACTGAGAAAGGTTTGTTTGTGTTCATGGAAATTAATTCTGTACGGATATCGTTCTCTTGGATACAGGTGCCTGAATGTATCAATAAGCTTGCCCAAGCTGGGATTAAGATATGGGTATTGACGGGGGATAAGATGGAAACTGCAGTTAACATTGGGTATGCTAACAGTTTTTGTGCTTAGATTATATTTTTCTGATACTTCATTGTGTGCTTAGATTATATTTTTCTGCAAGTTACAGGTTACAAGTGTTGTAAATTTTACAGGTATGCTTGCAGTTTACTTAGACAAGATATGAAACGGATTGTCATCAGTCTCGATTCACTAGACATAAAAGCCTTGGAGAAACAAGGGGATAAAGAGGCAGTTGAGCAGGTACAGAATTCCTAAAGCAAAAATCCAAAACATTATTTTTTTCCCTTCTTTTTTCTTCTTCCGTGGTGTAATTTCTGAAACCATGATTGTTTTAAGGCTTCTCTTGCAAGCATAAGGGAGCAAATTAGAGAAGGAATTTTTCAAATTGATGAAGCTAAACAAAGTCCGAATCAAGCTAAATCGTTCGGCTTGGTAATTGATGGGAAGTCCTTGGAATTTTGTCTCAAGAAGGATGTCAAAAATTCGTTTTTTGATCTTGCAATTACTTGTGCTTCTGTTATATGCTGCCGCTCTACGCCCAAACAGAAAGCTCTTGTAAGTATCTCGATCATGCTCATGAGCATATCCATTCAAATTATCTACAGTTTTTTCTTAAGGCCAGTTGCTGACATCAAATAATCTGATAGAACTACAAAATCTGTGCAGGTTACGAGATTGGTAAAACTCGGAACAGGTAAAATAACACTCTCTGTTGGTGACGGTGCAAATGATGTTGGCATGCTTCAAGAAGCTGATATTGGAGTTGGCATTAGTGGTGTTGAAGGGATGCAGGTGACCATATTTTTTGTGTTAATCTGATTTTTACGGGTTTTTTTTTATTCCCAAGATAAGTAACTGGAAATCAGTGCAATTTTGAAAGTGAGATAGAGGATGTGTTTGTCTACACTATTCACCGAATCAGAGTACTTTTGAAAAAGAGAATAGAGCATGCATCTGTCTACAACGCTATTTGCCAGCAGTTGCTTGTTTTTGGTGTCAGACTCTCAGACATATAACTTGCATATTTTTTTTTTAAGACCCAGCTTCAAATTCCATTTGATTCCTGAATGCAGGCGGTGATGGCAAGTGATTTTGCAATTGCTCAGTTCCGTTTTCTGGAGCGTCTCTTGCTTGTACATGGGCACTGGTGCTATAGGCGCATATCAATGATGGTAAAATATGCCTCTTATAATTGTAACAAACAATACTTGAAAAAGAAAGCAATAGATTTCGTACCCAGTTGATACGTGCTGATCTATTCTTTTTGGTTGATGCAGATATGCTACTTCTTCTACAAGAACATTACATTTGGGTTTACTCTGTTTTGGTTTGAGGCCCATGCTTCTTTCTCCGGTCAGCCTGCTTACAACGACTGGTACATGTCATTCTACAATGTCTTCTTCACATCACTCCCTGTAATTGCTCTTGGCGTCTTCGATCAGGATGTTTCTGCGCGGTTATGCCTCAAGGTATACAATTTTCTCTTTTGTAGAGTTTGTATACAAATAAGGGAAAATAATATGATATTCAGGGTGAATGAGTGATCCACATGATATAGTGCTAAGGTGACAATTGACTACAAATTCACGATTTACGCTCTATATTACTACTATAGCTTTGTGTGTTTGTAATTCCATCTTCTGGTAGTAAGTATCAAATCTAGTAACAAGTTCTTTACGGATGTTAAGAACCAAAAGGCGTATAATTATCGTCATGGCTTGTCATATATATTGTTTATTTTCATCTTTTTGGACTGGAATTTTTACGGCTCATGCTTTGTTCTTTTGACAGTATCCTTCCTTGTATCTGGAGGGAGTAGAGAATATCCTCTTCAGCTGGCCACGAATACTCGGTTGGATGGTTAATGGCGTTTTGAGCTCCATAATTATCTTCTTCTTCACCACCAATTCCATGATTGGCCAAGCTCTCCGAAAAGACGGTAAAGTAGTTGACTATGAAGTCCTAGGGGTCACAATGTACTCTTGCGTAGTTTGGGTCGTAAATTGCCAAATGGCACTCTCCATCAACTACTTCACCTGGATCCAGCACTTCTTCATCTGGGGCAGTATCGCCTTCTGGTATATATTCTTAGTGATATACGGCTCTGTCTCACCAAGCGTATCCACAACAGCACACAGAGTTCTCGTCGAAGCCTGTGCTCCCAGTCCTCTGTTTTGGGTGGTCACCCTTCTCGTTACTATCTGCACTTTGCTGCCGTATTTCTCATACAGGGCTTTCCAGACACGGTTCAAACCAATGCGTCACGATGTAATACAACAGGAACGATTAAATGGCTCAGACAACGAGACTTCCGGTGAATTGCCTCTGAGATTCAGTAGCAAACTGCAGCACCTGAAGCAGAGATTGAGGGAAAGAAGGTCGTGAACCGCGGTCCCGGGATCGAACTTTGTGTATGTAATCAGTGGATAGTTTGGTTTTGTGAATATGTTTGACAGTTTGAGAGAGGTATTCTTAAGAAAAGTCAAGTAGGGCAAATGGCCAATTAGTGTGTTGTAGATTAAGGGCTTTGTAGGTTTTTACCATGTAAAGCTGATATATATCATCAAATTATCAAACAAAAAGGGAAACCCCAGTGTGGCAAAAGCTTAAAGCGAGTGGAATCAAAATTAAGAGTTGGTTTATATGTGATTTAATATTTTAGTGGATAGGTTGTTGAGTTTCTACTTATGCGCCTCGACTTTCAAACTCCCTCCCCCCATAAATCTTTTTGAAAAGGGACGACGCTATATTAATGACTGCAAATAAAGGTTACATCAACTTTTGGATGAGGAGATCCTGAATAATATCAGGAGAATCCTTGAACCAAACTATTATGTTGCCAATTCAAACAGCAAACTGAGCTAATCTATGGGGAGGCAAATTGTCTGCCCTCCTGTTTGGGAGCACTTCCTATTCCCCCTATTTTGTGCGGTCACGGTTAAACCACGTTAATATTTTATATTATTTTTTTATAGAGATAATAAGACAAAAAACAATAGTAATATAAAATGTTAACGTGGCTTAATCGTGACTACACAAATAGGAGGGGATGAGAAGGGCATCCAAACAGGAGGGCACACAATCTACCTCCAATCTATGGGCTACCCCATTACAGGTTCTAGGGACATACATGAACTGTTTAACTTGAAAAGTCGATGCTACCTGCGACATGTCCTCCTCAAGCAAGCCAATAGCAGAAAAATCACTTTGTGTGATCGTTAATTGCAGCAAGAGCCTAAGTAGAATCACTCCCAACCACGATTTGTTGTGCATCCAGTGTCATTTGTACTTCGATTTTCACATTGTTCGATGAACAAGTTCAATGCGATTCAGATTTCAACTCCTCATCAATTCAGTCTCTCAAATTCAATTCCTCCAATTTCGATTACGAATTAGTAAACATGTCAAAGATGTCTTTCTAGAGGGATAGAACACCGCCACCGGCGCCACCAGCTGCGGCCACTAAAAGTAGATTAAAACCAGCAATCGCAGCCTGTAGATTTGACATTGCTCTATGAATTAACAATAAAACACCATGATTAAAAATGATAGTGCATGCATATATAAAGATTTGATATAAATGCATGGTGATTACTACAAATCTTATCCCACTAAATTAATCAACCACTAGCCCTGCAGATCAGCATCGACATCAAGAAAATAACCTACGTTATTAATTAAGCAGAGGTTAAAGTTCAATCCACGCGTGTAAATTATATTATATATTAGTTTTAGGATTAACACTAATCACTGTTTAAGCGCAACCCAATAAGACGTTTGGCAAATTGGCATGCATCTGATCTGGCTGGCTTGGCATTGTTTATTGAGAAGCCCAAAAGTGCTAGTCTGGCAGGAGAAGGTCAATGTGCTTTTGTTGTTGCCCTGTACTTTTGAAATAAGCACTTTTCACGAACTGAACACAATCTTCTTTTTCTAGATCTTTTTGGTAAGTGGGTTGTTGTGGCCGGACTCGTAGTCAGAAGATCTTCGTAAAACGTTATTTAACGGACTTTATGATTATTTGGGAGACAAGATTCCTATCCGGATTCAAATAGTGGGGATTACATAGGATTTTCACATTCTAATCGTTCATTGTATATTGTGAGGTCAGTTTTCGTCAGAACTATTTATGTATTAATTTTACATAATAAAATTCAAATGATTTTTTATCGTACGATATACGATAAACGATTAGATGTGAGGATTCATAGGATTCTCATCATTTGGATCCGATGGAATCCTCATCCATTATTTGGGAGCTTCGATTTTCCTTAAAATACTGAGGAGACTTTGACATTCATGACCAAATGGTTGGCTTCTCCCCAACTTCAAAACGTTTCTCATGTTTGACTAAATGCTAAAGCACTCCAATTGCTTCTAAATATACTTTTTTAGTGTGACTGAAATACGAAGCGATTCGCCACATGTTATTATATAATTAGAGAAAAGTTTTTTTTTTTTTTAAGTATCCTTCTAATTGTATAATGACGAGTGGCGTACCATCCCGTATTTTTGTCACACTTAAAAAACCTCTCATTTATTAAGGTGGAAACACTAGTGACAAATCACAAATGATGTATGCATCACTCTTTTGTGTGTGCAAGTAATCATAATTTGCTTATAATGTATGAGTTCATCATTTATAAGTAAGAATCAATGACTTTTTAATTGTAAAGAGTTGAGCTTAGTTATGCTAAGTATAACTTTTTTTAAAAAAATATCGTCGTTTGTTGTGCTCGCTTCCTAAAATAAGGACCGTAACAGTCAACCCCAACCCTCGATGTCGAATTGGTCATCAAGTTGCTTTGCTAGGTAGGTTGGGCAATGATCCTCTTGTAAGTTCACAGTATGAAATCTTGTTAAGACGTCTCCTTCCTCGAAATGATAAAACTCAATAGATTTCTTGCAACATTTCTGCAACGACCACATATGTTGGCAAGATTCAGAATTTCATACAGACCATTCGGCTAATAGGAGCGACAAACCATATGTGCGCAGGGACGCAATCAATGCAGAGAAATGTTATGCAACAAACGTGCAAATAAAAATATATATATTCGTATGTTTAAAATGCTTAGAAAGATATCAAAGAATCAGAAAGATCCATACACATAAGGTCACCAATTAGGTAACTATACATATAAAAAACCTAATAAGTCAATTACTGGAGAAATTTTTCAGTTACCCGGAACATACCTGATACATCAAATGTTATAATACAATTAGTTGAATTTTTTAAAAGTTTTTAATCAATTGTATTATTATACTTAGTAGACCGAAGTGTATTCTCGGCATGCTGAAAGATTTCTTCAACTACTGGTCAGGATTCTTTTAAAATATTAATAAACAGTAACTCGCACTTGGCATGGTTTTGCGGCTTCTTGTGCCTTCCAATGAGGAGTCTATTTATTTTCCTGAGTTTAGGCCAAATTGCACAATGATAATAATAATAATTAAAATATTGCATCCAAAACAGGTTAACATATCCCATTAATATAGCTTCTCTGTCAATTATCTACAGCTAACCTGTTTTCTTCTGGGATCCACAATCCTCTCCTCTCATGAGCAAAGGATGAGAATCCTTCTAAGTAAGTCCATTCGGGTCATTTAAATTTTATTCAACGGCTACAAACAGAGAGCTCTTCTAAAAATTATAGTAATTGTAACGGTTGGATAAAATTTAAACGGTTCGATAAATTTACTCAAGAGGATCCTTATCCTTAGCTCAGGAGAAAATCTTGAGCCTTTCTTCTTATGCACAAATTTCCTTCTAGAAGTCCAGGTGGCCCCCACGAGGTTGGCATGCGAGATAGCAGTATCTCAGGTTCTGGAACACAAAAAATGAGTGCAAACACTCCTGTCGTTTCCGTATTTTTTGTTATAATACTTACATATTTTAATACAATTACCATTAGACGTCCCAAAAAATAATAAGTTTATTTGAAAGTGTTTTTAAAATTATTTGAAGCTTGTTTAGAAATACTTTTAAAATGATTAAAATATTTTTGAAGAAAATATTTTTAGTAACAATCCTTACTAAAAATGCTAGTAAATCTTGGAAAACACTTAAAGTGTTTACTGGAAGAAGCACATAACTGGTGCTGCACTTTAAGTGCCTTTGGAACCCAAAAACATATTCTCTAAAAGCACATTCAGTCATTTTAAAAGTATATCCAAACGAGCACTTGATAAGAGTATTTTTGGAACCAATCTTTAAAAAAAAAAAAACAAGTGAATCCTGAAAAACCATTTGAAGTACTTTCTACAAGAAGCACATAGCAGTTGCTACTCGTAAGAACTCAAAAGTACTTTCACAAAAAACAATTTTAATTATTTACAAGCACTTCTAAACGGGCTTGACATCTCAAATCAAAATAAAATTGTAAAGTTACTTTACAATCACTTTTTGATAATTTATTGAGAACTTTAATGAAAAATTTCCGGTGCTGTTTATTTGAACGAAAAATCACATTTTTACATTAAAAAATCAATCATGATACTATTCATTTTACCCTTTATTTTGTCATTATCGTTAAAACTCAAAGTTTTCCAATTATTTTCGTTAGTTTTCCTTAATTTATTTGCTTAAAAAAAAAATTGGGCGATTAAAAATACAATTAAAATCTCATGAAAAATGTCAAGTTCCTAATACCTTTCTATTTTCCGCTCACTGATTTCTTTCCATTTGTCTTCCTCAATGTCCACATACTCTGCTTTTCTTATCCGTCATTGCCGCCGTATCCAGAAACGCGGACGCGTCCGTCCAATAAGCTCACGCGCTGACGTGGATGCAGTTAAGAAATTACGTAACGCCGAACGTGTGAAGAAGGAAAGTTTACCGAAGCATCTCCCGTCTTTAACTCAACACGCCCGCTCAACTCTTCACCAATAAACTAGAAACAAGAAAAGCACTCAAAACATGATGTCATGACATTCGATATCAAATCTTCTGCACTCAAAACGCTCGACAGCATTTTTGTGCTTTATTTATTTATGTAAAACGTGTTTTTTTTACTCAATTTATGGTAGCATTGTATTTTTTTTTATTGAAGAGATTTGAAAAGTTAACGCATTAAATGGAGTTTAAATGAATGATCAGGTGTTAACAAAAGATATAAGTCATATAGAGGTCACTAAGTGCTCGTTTGAAAGTGCATTTAAAATGATTGAAAATGCTTATAGAGAAAATATATTTGAGTTTCAAAAGCATTTGAAGAGCTTTTTACAAGAAATACCAATTACGTGCTTCTTTCAGAAAATACTCGAAGTATTTTTTCAAAATTTACTTGTATTTTTACAAAAGATTAGTTTCAAAAATATTTTTATCAAAAATGTTTTTAACTATTTTAAAATAATTTCCAAACCAACTCTTAATCGAAGCTTTCACACTAATATCACACCTTCAATAGTTAATAATTAATTATTACAACCATGCCCTTTTTAATCTTCGAACTTTACAGCGCTCTATATAAAAGCATACAAGGAAGCGAAAGCGCCACAACCACCAATTCTCAAACGCACCAAGAGCGTCCAAAAAAATTATCCTAGGACAAGAAAATATGCAAAACGACGATTTCGAACAGGGACTCGTCTGTCCCAGCTTCAACTGCTACTCCTCCGACAAACTAGCAGATGCCGCCGCCAAGGTCTGTCGGGAATTGGACCACCTCAATTTGCTTGAAGAATCGGAGTCTGGTCAGTTAGCAGACTGTAAAAATGACAGCGAATCCGCCACCGCCGACAAGGAGGAGGAGGATGAGTTCGAATTCGTGTCCTTTCAGAAATCCGCCGACCAGGTTTTCTTCGACGACCACCAGATCGGCCCCGTTTTTCCCGTGTTCAACCGCGACCTCTTGCTGGATAGAAGTCAACCTGATCTCCTCGCCAGCGGTCGGAATGATAAAAAGGTGGAGGAGGACGACGATGGTGTGCCGTCATCGTCATCGTCCGAAGTGGACGAGCTGGAGGCGGTCCCACCGGGGACGTACTGCGTGTGGATGCCGAAATCCGCGTCGGCAGAAGCGCGTGGGAAGTGCAAGAAGAGTAAGTCGACCGGAACATCGTCGTCCGGAACGTCGTCGTCTCGGCGTTGGAGCCTCCGGGATTTGCTTCGGCGGAGCAACAGCGAAGGCGGCAAGAACATGGTGTTCTTGACCCCTTTGTCGTCCACCTCCAAGAAAGTGGAAGACAACAAGGAAACCAAAAAGAGCTCCGGGTCGGGAACCGGGTCCACATCTGGGTCTGATAGGCCCAGGAAAAAGCCCAGTACAGGCTCAAACGCGTTGTCGATGGCTCACGAGGCGTTCTATGTGAGGAACAAGACGGTGGCGAAGGACGGGTACAATAAGCGGCGTTCGTATCTTCCATACAGGCAGGACCTGGTGGGGTTCTTTGCTAGTGTGAACGCCGTGAGTGGAAGCTTCCCACCTGCTCTCTGAAAATCTAATAGTAATTAAATTAGCTTAATTATTATTAATTAACTTCTGCTAATCCTAGTTAGTTTGAGGGTTATGCCCAGTTATTTACACAATTTTCGACTTAATTTGTGTACAGGTTAATTAGTGTACTAAAAGTTTGAAGTTTTTGACTTTTTGCTGTAACTTGTTTGATATTTTATATAGTGAGATTAACTGTATATCTTTTACATTGGAGCCTTGGAGGGCAAATTGATAATCCTACTTATATTTGTAATTTGTCACGTGATTACATCTTCTTTTGTTAAGTTACCGATTCTCTCTATTTTTGAATTTGATTATACAACCACGTTTTTTGTTGCTGAAATAAGAGCAGCAAGTGTTGCTGAAACTCAATCACAAGAGACAAATGTCTAATAATAGTTTTTAGTTTCTATTATTTAGACACGTGTTTATTTATGATTAGTTTTTCAACAACACTTGCTGCTTTTCTTTCAACAGCAAAGCATTGTTCTTGATTATGCATCTATTTTATTTGCTAAGAATTGATCAAATAGTTGTATGCTGCTCAATTCCCCTTGGTGTCGGCATGATCTGTTGAAATTGTACAACCTATTATAATTATATGCGCGGATTATAAAACGTACTAGACATGATGTAGGACGATTGTTAACTATTGGTGTATGTATTAACTTTGCCTTTTGTTATTTCATAGAAGAAGGCTTTACATTTGTAGTGTGCCTAGACGAGAAGTCAATTTAATTAGGTTTCATATCAAGTACCTCCAATGGTGTTGATGTATGTCTTTGCTCTTGATAAAAACTTTTTAATGTGCCTAGTTTAGAAGTCAATTTTAGGTTTCATATCCTTTACTCCAAGTAATGAAATTGTCTTTTGAAGATTTTTTTTTGGTGCCAATGGCAAGAGTTTTTTTTTTTTATTTATTTTAACAAACAATATTATGTATATTAAGGTAATGACGAGTGAACGAAACCTTACAATGAGTCAACAATAATGCGGTTTAAATTCGCTTTTGACGATAATCGAACCTAAGGTCTCTCACGTACAAATAAAAATGAATATCACTAAACTATAATACTAAGTTGCATGACGAGACTTATATATTAAGAGAAAGTCGATAGTGACCAAACCAAATACTCAATAGTGACCAAACAAAACTTATTTGGCTATTTTATAAATAAATAATTTCATATGCTAACCGGTCTCTCATTGTTGACTTCCGGAGGAGTTCTCAACTCACTACTCATGACATATTTATTGTATTTAATTGTTGGAAATGTACCTTAAAAATCAATTATGAGATTTCAGTATAATTTAATGAAAAAGATCATTATTTAACGTCGTCTTGTTAAATTTTATACGCTTAAACAGTAAGTCAAAATAATATGTAATAGAGTGAATATAATAAAAGGAAGCTAGATCCATGATACCTTTAGTTCTCGAATACATTTATGCAACTGAGGTATCTACAATGGTAAAAAGAATTATATTAAATTAACAAATTCTTTCCTTCATTATTAGCACGTACGGAATCAAAAGATAAGTGGATTAATTAGTTATTAAACACCTCAACAATCAGGTATTACAGGGCAGTTTATTCCATGTTCGAACCATGTGTCATTTTAATCTGGGCTTGCCTTATTCAAGTAAGTAAATACTGTTTTTTTAATACAATAATATTATGAGCAATATTAGGGGAATTCTTTCAGAAGTGAAATTTTTTATGAACTACCTGTCATCTCATGTTTTTGGCACAATGTTTTATAATGTCGACAATGAATTGACGTTAAATTATGAGGTGATAGAGAATCTATGGAAAATTTCACTTTAAGAGAGTACCATTAGGATTTCTTATACTATTACTAAAGAAATTTTTGTTTAATTTTTGCATAATACTAGAGAAAGTAAAATTTTAAACACAATTTTGTAAACCAAATGATATAGTTGTGGATAATTAGATTATTAAGTACGTGTAGATTTGCTCGAAGACAATCACCGTTCACAACGCTATCAAAAGGTTTCAATCATCTCTACCGTTTTGTCTTTAAACATAAAGGAGTTCCAATCAAAGAAATGGAGAAAAAGTGAGATGGCAAATGCTATGTGCCAAAGTGAACGGAGTTCAAGTTTGTTGTGCGCTGCCGTTGGCTAAGGTATCTAGGTTTAAAGCATGTTGCTTAAATTGGGACCACTGATCACACTAAAATACATTGTGGGTAGGTTCGACATCCATCTCGAATAATTTATCTGTGTATTCTGAATAACGACGCTCAAATTATAACTTTTATAATCAATTTTTAAAAATTTATTTTAGAAGTGAGATACATTAATTATGATATCAACACATAGTATAATACGTAGAACAAGTGTTTAAAATATTGGTGTTGGTGAAAAAATCGATATACAAATTTGTGGAAATATCGACAAATATATCGAATATTGATACCGATCGATTTTTCTGATGGAAATGATGTAAATTGAAAATGAAACTTTAAGGATTGTCAAACATTGATTTGGATGACAAATAAGAGTTTCACTAACATTTAACAAATGTGTTAAAAATATTAACAATATATTGATTTTAGCCTAAACTTAAGAGTTTCGTCAACCTAACGTGAAGTTCACCCCTATTTTCCTATCTTTCTTTGATTTTTTTAAATATTTTAATAAAAATATCGTCTGTATCGAAAAAATTTTAAACACTATCACCGCCGCGTGAAGACTCAGTCTACGAAAGACATTTTCGTCAATCTAAAAACAAAATACTGTTCATGGTAAAAAATCATAAAGTGATGGATGTTTTCGGTTTTTTAATCATAAATAGCACTTCGACCAAAAAATAAAATACAAAAAGAGCATTTGTCCAATTACGCTGCTGTTTTTCTATTTTGTTTTCCAATTGCACAACTTGTTTGCCCTAATTTTGGAAAATAGGAGAAAGCAAAAGTAGGAATCATTCATACTCAAATTCTAAAGTTAATCGTGATGAATATCAGGCTCGTATTTTACATGATTAGTTTTGAGTTTGATTTTTGACGATAGTGAATCAAATGATGGTTGCTACCAAGATATTAAAATGCATATGTAAGTTTTTTCGGCTCTAAAAAACATATAACAGATGTGCTTTAGTCACCAACTAGCCTCCTTTTAAAAAAAATCCTGGAGTTTTTGTGTACAGTGGGAACGGAAGTTGACACATTCTGAACTGATGAGTGCAAATCTGCCAGCTGCTGAGCTGAAACTGAAAGCCCCAGTTTGCCTGCCCTCCTTACGATTAATCACTAATGCTAATGGACGAGGTTATCATAATTACCAAGACTAAATGGTAATTAGCGTTTGGCTTGATGACAAAGTGGGTGTCTCCGTCCTTGACTTGAGCGTCGGCAGAGGGTAAAGTAAAGTGACTACAGTAGCAAAGATTCGAATGCAATTTTTTTTTTTTGGTATAGTTGTTTAATTACGATTCTGATATTGAGTGCAACTGTGTATATTAAAGAGAATTTTAACAAAAAGCTTATGGTATTATTTTTTTAACGAAAAATTATATTTTTATATTAAAAAGTCAATCCTGGTACTATTTACTTTGTCCTTATCGTTAAAACTCAAAGTTGTCAAGCATTTTTCATTAGTTTTCCTTATATTAAATAGACGGAACTAAAATACAAGGATATCACATATTTGTATGAAAACTGATATACGTATGGCGTGATTGGAGTATTTTTGTTCAAATTTTCTCCCTTAAGAGTTACTGGTCGTCAATTCTCTCAAAACACAATGTTAAATAAAATAAGAAGTCACACATCGGTTATCTCACAAAACAAATTACAACTTATATCAAATGCTTCCACTTCTAATTTCATTGAGGCCTTTTACATAAAAACCCACACCTATTAATTAGGTGATTAAGGGGGGACGATATTGATGCTATTAGTGATGGATTGCGGCTCGTCTCTCTAAAACTTTAACATGGTATCATAACGAATTTCAAATTTGGGTTGAAATTACTGGGTTCATTTACAAACATGACCGATGTAGCTCCACGTCTGACCATCTCTAAAGTGGTTCAATGTAAGGTTGCGTATTGAATAAAGCAAAAAATTCTATATCAATCATCTCACAAAACAAATTGCAATATTATATGATTCTACTTCTAATTGCATTGAGATCATCTGCATAAAAACTCCACATAATAATTAAGCATAAAAGTATTAAAGCTATTAAAGATGGACCGCGACCCGTCTTTTTAAAACTTTAACATTTGATTTTTTTTTATTTTTTTATTTTTGCATTAACTAACAAGAGTCACCAATGTGAAAAATATGATGGTCAAACAATATGATAGCCTCCAAATATGCTTTAATATATCAAGACACGGACTCCTTCAGTGTGAATTGCGAGATGGATGGATGGATTGCAACCTGATGACATGAAAAGGAAGACAAAACAAATGTGAGCACGAAATTAGTTAGGAGTGTGGAGCAAGTAAACTTTACTTGGGAAACTTGCGTGGAACACACCTTATTAATTCATATACTGCAATCGATCCGAGAGGTCAGGATCATGCTTCGAGAGAGACTTGGGAATTGTTCAACTTTTACAAAATAATATTTATATGCTCCAAAACCCTTTCTTTCAATGTTGATCGATTCTCATACGAAAGAGATTTTTCAGTGTGTTTGAAACACGGAATGATACTTTTATATGTCAATATACAAGTGGAGAGATACTTTTGAAAATAAAACTTCCCTCCATTTATATATGTGGTGTAAGACTCCGTATTCCAGACATAACGAAAAAATTATTGTCAAATGAGAAATGCTAAGAGTACTCTCTTAAAAATGGATTCTCGATGGATTCTTCGCCACTTCATGTTTTTGATACAATGTTTTATAATGACATGAAAATTGACTCAAAGTTATGAGGTGACAGAGTATTCGTGAAAAATCTCATTTTCTTAATAAAAAGTACTGATAATTTTAATTAGCGCACACCATTTCACACAT